ATCCGATTTTTCTGTGTTCACAGTTTCACCATTTTCTGTCTAGACCATGTTTCTTAAAATTCTATAAATACTTGAATAAGAAGTAAAATTTCACTTCCCTTTTAGATCAGGGTAAAAATGTTGGCTGCTAAAAAAACGTACCAGAGACAATGATTCTTAAAGGTTTCATGATCTTTGATAAATAATAAGTAATAAATATCTATCACTTTAGTAATCCTCCTGAACATGAATGAAATATTTGCCACCGGATGTTAAGCAAACATCAATCAATCAATCAGCTGTGTTCAAAAATGCTAAAAGTAAAGAGGAAATTTTTTTTGGGGTTAAATTAAGGACATTCAGTACATTACCTTAGAACCAGATATGGAAAAAAATACAACCACAACCTTTCTAAAATTACAAGATTGGCTGCTCAAATTCATTTGCCCAGGACAAGGCTTAATAGACTCTTTTGACTCCTGTGAAAATATCTGTAATGCTGTCTCATGTTTCAAATCCCAAGTTTTAAACTATGTTTCCTTTGTATTCAATAGTTTCTTCCAATATACAGTGTAAATACATATAGATGAAATGGATTAAGATTTTTTTTAGAAGGTCTTATTAATGTGATAATAAAATGTACTGTTGAAAATAGATGCTTTCTCAGCATTTTTTTCCCTTGAACAAGTGTATATTTTTTGGGACACATGTTATGTCTAGTGAAAAAGCTAATTGTGACAAATAATTGCTTGTTTATTGACACTTTGACACAACTAAATATGTGTTTATATTTGTCAGCCATGTGTCGTTATGCCCTAGAGGACTGCTGAAGTATTAATTATAATTTTTTACACAAATGACGATAATGCTTGATGTGTTGATCCTCCAGCTCTTTTTCACATATATCTGAAAGTGAGTTTCTTTGGGTTTTTAAAAAAAATTCTACCGAATTATTGCAATTTTCCAGTTTAACTTAAAAATAACTTTATAAATAATATCAACGTTATGGCCTGTCCTTGATACAATGAATGGTCAATTTATACTAAGGACTTCTTTATTTTCATGGGTACCAATTATTATGGATTGAGGAAGAATTGTTTTTTATGCCCCATTTATGGGCATTATGTTTTTCAGTCTGTTCGTCCGTCCGTCAGTCCCGCTTCAGGTTAAAGTTTTTGGTCAAGGTAGTTTTTGATGAAGTTGAAGTCCAATCAACTTGAAACTTAGTACACATGTTCCCTTTGATATGATCTTTCTAATTTCAATGCCAAATTAGAGTTTTTACCCCAATTTTACGGTCCACTGAACATAGAAAATGATAGTGTGAGTGGGCATCCATATACTATGAACACATTCTTGTTTCTTACAGTATTTTGTTGCACACGTAATTCTATGTTTCACCTATATCAGCAAATCCATGAAAAATATGTACATCATGCATTGATATGTTATGTTCCATTTTACATGTAATTGCATAGAGTATAGATAATGAAAGATACATTTTTATAAGTTGATAGGCATGAATTAGTGTTATTATTCAGGAAGATCATGCTACAAGATGAAATCTCTTATGTTAAAAATATTGAGGTTCTAACCTATATGCACTATGTATTGAACAACCAGATTTAAAAATTTTAATGATTTTTTTCTCTCCACAAAAATACTATTGTAATTTTTTCCGAGATGAAACCAAAATTAAATATTCATTAGAAAAAATGCTTAAATCTCTTTGAGTAGCTACACAACAGGGATATTAATGTCATGAATTGGTCAAAACTTTTACTAATTGAAAAGAACAGGGTGCAATAAGGGCGATATTAGGCGCAGTTCTTCACTGAAATTGGACAGTTTCATTTGAGATTTCTATTTATGTCTCTTTAAAATAAAGTTAAAAACAGGTAGTTTAAGATCAATGAAGTCTTAACAAATGTACTTGTGACATCATGAGAAAGGGGCCATTCTGATTAATTTTGTGAAAAATGAGTACCTTTTGGTAAATTTTCAACTAGTTTTAGACAATATGTCAAAATAGAAACCAAATATGTGTGTCAAAAAAACTTTTTTGTTTAAAAAATTCCTTGATAAATGTATGATGAAAGATACTTGCAAAAATACAGTTACGAAAATCTTCATCAAAAACTATTTTTGCGGATAATCAACAAATTCGTTCATTGAAAAAATAGATGCAATACATTTTAAAGTTTGAAAACACTGATGGATATATTTCCATGGACATCATGAGCTGTTTAATTGCAGAATTGATTCAAGTATAATTATTTAACTACATTTTCAAAGCCAATTTCTTTATGGCTTACCTGTAAATAATTACATAATTCAACAATATCACTCTGTCAGTTCCAATGAACATAGCTTTTAGGTAGTTATTAACAGAAATATTGCTTTGAATCGGATTTGCTCAGATGTGTTGAAACAGTTGAATATATGTACTGAAATGGTTTATAAATACTTTTTTCCATTAATTTTTATTTGTTAAATAATTTCTCTGAAAATCCTTTGTATTCACTCACCAAAAATTTCAATCCTCAGCTAAAACTTGCAGATACAAAAATTTAGTTTTTTTATTCCTACTGGCTGCAAAATTTAATTTTATGGCTTGTGCCTCTGACATACAGTTTCTTTGGGAAACAAATCTAGTTCAAGTAGTACAAATTTGTTAGAGTTATTTCCCTTACAATGTACTGACATTTATTAATCAAAAATAACATTGCTTGGTAGTTTTATGTATAAGTTTTTATGACATTTAATGTTGTAAATCATTAAATGGAATCAGCCAATTCTGTCTAATTTTTCTGCTTTATATTATGACTTTTCAATAATTTCATTTATTTAATGTATTTTCCTTTGTTCAAGGACGTAACTAACATCTAATATACATCCTTGCTTTGTTTAAAATGTTTTTTTATGGTATTCTAAGTTTCTTAAACAACTGTAAATATGATGGTTTTCTGGGATTATATGTAATAATCCAATAGATAATTGAAATCATCATTCAATCAAAGAAATCCATTTTATTTAATCCAGTCAGCATATATTTTTATAAGTCATTTCTAAAATACTGACTTCTGTGTAAATTATTGGATAGATGATACTATCTGTGGGATATGGAGGCTGTTTTCCCCAATTAGACTGATATTAGTTATAAAAGATATACATGTATGTTTCTTACTAAAAGTATTGTGGTACAGTTTTAGCATTAAAATTGGACTTATAATTTACCTTATGAATAACTTCAGAACCATTTTCATCATATGTAAGCACATTTTGCAGTTGCTTACTTAATTTCTGTTGCTTTTCAAACTGAAGATCTAATTAATTTGAACTCACAGATGTACTGAGAGTTAAATGAGGAAATAAGCATAAAAACACAATAGTCTGTAACATAGAACACCCATATTTTTACCTTTTTTAAATTTTAGTGATAAATCTTATAATATTATAATCGATTAATGACATCACACTTGAGATACATGTAATTCAAGTTATTCAAGAAGAAAAATTCTCAATGTATCCTGATGGCGGTGAAAAAAATGTCCATCTGGAATAATAAAATACCTACACTCTTATGAAGTGTTGTGTCCTTATTTATTATTTCAATCTAAAATTATATTTTTTTTAATTAAAGGGCAAATTATACTTTAAAATACCATTTTTCATAAACTCTAAATCTCTTAAATGTATTTTCTAATTTAAAAAAAAAAACAAATACATGTATTAATATTGTCTGTCAGTGTAGTGGAGGATTTTTGTAACCTGGACCATTTTTTGTACTGAGAAATATATAAGTTTTTAATATCGATTATTATTCATAGCAAAAACTATCATAAATAATCAGATTGACTTAGGAGATGTCACTGAAGAGGCTATTTTGTGTAATGTATGTGATCTAAATTATGAATAGGTCAGTTACCTAATAAACATCTTCTATTGCAATAAATGCAGTGCAAATGTGTTAGTTATATATAAAATTAAAACCAATGACAATGGTGAAAGGCTTCAGTGATACAAGCTGTTTTATTTAAAACTCTGATTTGTGAGTATTCTAATACATGTATGTTTTTTTTGTTTTTTTTTTATATTTTTACCAATATTTGTATATTTGATTACAACTGGGACTAATAAATTGAATCTATATGTCCCAGATTACAATAACCTGTGTTTTGTTTTTGATGTAGTATGATATATGTATGTTCAAGTTACACTAGTCATTTGAAGTTATATGAGGATGCACATGTACATAAATGTTTGGTATCACTTGATTGTTCTATTTGAGCAAAAAAAAGGAGGTTTAAAAAGAGAATTTTTTATTAACATAGATTTTTAAATGTTTTAAAATAGCCTTGGGTTATCAATGTATTATTGAATAATTTATTTTGAAATGTACCAATTTTTTCTCTTCCAAATAGCTCGAAAGACATGCCCATGGTATTAACATATATAAATGAGAGCAGGACAGGGGCCTTAGTTCTAAATAGTAAATTTACTATTGTGTCTCAAAACACATGTACTCATCTTCTTTATTCATGTTAATAAGATTCATTAAAGTAAATTTTATCAATGACAATGAATATTTATTTACCAGGACTCTGTGAGTTTTTTTGTAAACCTTGTATTAATAACGGAACATAAGTCAGAAAATACTAAAATTTTCAGATTTTTTGTTTTGTATTTAAAGGGCTATCTCCCAACCCAACAGTGACCAACACACAATTTTTTTGAAGTGACCCACATGTTAAATACTTTTGGTCAGATTATGAATTTTGTTAAATGTTAAGTCCATTTAATAAAAGAAAACGGTATTACTTGTTACATTATGTCATCTGACAAGTATCTGTAATAATAACGATCATGTGATCAGGTAATCAGAGTGATCTATATGGGTCATTAAACCTTCAAACACAATGATAAGCAACTTAACATGTGTTTTATCAATATGGACTACCTCATATTGAACTATAACCCCAGTAGAAACAAACCAATAGCATTTGTATGTTTACATTTTAGTTGTTTTGTAACAGCTGATTGACAGTTGGTGTTTAGCAAAGGAGAACTGGGAAACACTTTAATTTTTATTAATGATTTTTTACCTATGTAGCACAGAACATTATTAAAATAATGTTGGTGTAACTTGGAAAAATTGTTTCTCCAGCAATAAACTTCATTGTAATTATGCAGTTTGAATACATCTAATAATGGATTTTGTTGTAAGCTGCTGATGCTAATGGACTTTATGAATGAAGTAGGTGTATCCAGGTCAGTGGGCCAATTTAATAAGAAACTGTAGTACATCAGAATCAACAGACTTGGATTATAGATACTCAGTTTGCTTCCTGTGAAAAAACTTTGTGATTCTAAATTTAGACAAAAAACATTTCCTGCATATAATTGTTTAGCTCATTAATTTTATTTTAGATTGTAGTTACATTATTCACTATTATATATTCTCAAGACACTTTGAATTGTGACTTCATAATTGTTCAGAAGTTGAACATATGACACAGATAGGATTATCATTTTATGATGAGCATTCAGTTTGACAGTTCAAGGTTTATGAGAGATACACCGATCTCTCCATTCTATTCTCATCCTCCCCATCTTCCGACTTTGTTTCATCCTGATATATACAGCCATATGACCAGATTTGACGAAGATCTGTGGAATTCAAGACTTGCCGAGAGAAAAATCATGGAACGATACCAAGAAGACAAGTATTTCCAGAGAATATCTCCTCCAAAACAAATGTCAGAGGAAATTAGACCTGCAGAAATTGACTTGACAACTACAGGACACAGGAATCAGGTGGAGGACTACAGTCGTCACAGTCCACGCTATTACTACAACAGTCTAGGAGAGAAAGAAAGGGAAAGTGAAACAGATTATTCCCATAAGTCTCACTCTGTGTCACCTCCAGGATTGGATGAAAGACTGAGGAAAAGTTCGTACTATACATCTTCAGTACAGGTAAGTTAAGGTCTAATTTTATATATGTGTCAGACAGCAGGTAGGATTTTGTGGATAAAATTATGTCAACAGATTTCATATTTCTCAAACAGGTGTCATTTCCTGAACTAAGATTTCTGTTTTATCTTTTAAGGAGTTTCAAATTGTCAGGGACATTGTCATAAATACTTTTGAATGGTGTCCTTTTTCATATGTTGCATCATGTTTTTATTTATTTAATGAAAAGCAGAACTGCTTGATTTTAAATGTTTAATGTGCACCCATTGCTCTAACTTAAAGCGTAATGGAAATAGTCTATTTTTAGAGAATGAGAAGTACTGCACTCCATCAGCTTCAGAATATGACTGTTTTCTCTAATTTAGGCTTAATAGTTTGTCACTTGAAAGGTTTAGAAACATGCTTTCATTATGTATTTATCATTTCCATATGGTTTACATATTTTGGAATGTAAAACTGTTCAATGTTTAACATGAATTGCTGTATTTATATTGATATTAGTTTAATAAACAGGATATGCATTTGCTTATGTGCATTAAGTAATTAAGTACACTTTGTTTTGTCTGTCTAATTGTTTTGGCAATTATTTTTTAAATTTTTTAATATAGCAGCTTAAACACTTCATAATCCAAATTTTCTCAGCATTTCACTGGACATTGAACATTAGAAATTCATTGGGATTTACCACTAGAACAATTTTCATAATTTAGAAATATTGTAAATGAGTGTTCATTGAACATGTTGAAAGAACGACAAATTTTTCTTCGAGTCCTTTTCATCCAATTTGTTGAAATCAGCAACAAAGAGCCCAGACATTGATATGTTTATTTATTCAATCAATAAATATAATACATGTATTTGAATTACTGGACCGGATTTTAATTTATTTTTTTTGCATTAAATTTTTCTAAACATTCGAAATGTAAAAAATTTCACACTTTACTTTATTTTAACTCTTGCATTAAATCTTAAAAAATAAATGAGCCTTTTTTTTGTTACTTTATCTATCACAATATTTTAAGAGGAAATATGTGAGAATTGTGAGATAACAAATTGAGGGAGGCAGAAGGTAAACAGGATTTGAGATTAAGATTTTATAGCACATTGAAGCAAATTATTTCTGCCAAAAGCACCACCTGGCTACTGACATAAGTAACTTTATGGTAATATCATATATTATTTTTTCTTAAAAAAGAATTTAAATGGAACATTTATTCCTGGATTTTTTTCTGTTGTCTCAGCCTTCATCCTGCCATGCATTTACAAATCTTTTTTCCATGTCTATTCCTATCCAATTAAGTTTTTAACTAATTTTCTTTAAAGCTGATCTTGATCTACCTTTGAAGTCATATGAAAGTACAAAAATACTTATCAAATTGACACATCAACCCAGAAATTACCAATTTTTGAAAAACATAAAATATAAATAACCTATATTTTATGTAAGTTAACAGGATGTTTTTGGGTTATCATCATGATCAGACAAAATCAATGGTAATCTCTTTTCTTTAATACACATAACACATAGCAATTTCCATATTAAAAGTTTTGTTAATGAAAAACTACTACATCAGATAATAAAGACATGTTGGCATAATAATTGCCAATGCTGATGTAAAAAATAAAAAGTGTACTTAACCAAAAGTCAAATCATTTAATGCACAAACACCAGAAAAGTCATCACCCCTATATGAATAATATGCTAGGGTCTTTGCGCTTCTTCTTTTTTTTTAATGGTAGAACATGTATTTGAAATAAAAACATTTTAAAGATCATAATGTTTATTTTTGTAAATATATATTATGTAATGTCAATACCTTATGGATAATAAACCTCTAGAGGAGTAACAGTTCATTACAAAGATACTTATCCACTGAGCTAGTAGCAACACAGATGCTTCTTCATCAGGTACATTTTTGGCTGAAAACGGGAAAGAAAACAGAAAGATGAAAATATACAGATCAATCTAAAACAAAATTTTTAAAAAAACATAATTTTTATGGTTTGGGCAGTATTCTGCTGTAGGAAAACTTTGTATCCATCGGTGTCTCTATGTGCACAATTAATTTTTGATTCATGTTTTTTATAAATAAATATGATTTTTTTTGGTGATTTATTGGTAGAGTAGTTAAAAGAAGTTTGATTAGATTTTGAATTAATTGCATAAAGTTGATCATAATACTGATTAAAGATAATGGATCAGTCAATTTCTTTGATTAACCATCAGAGTTACAGGAAAATTCAAAGATACCACATGTGTACAGAAATATAGGATTCAAGGAAACATGAAAGTGAACTTGAATGGAAAGCTTCAATCATTCACTCTATAACAGTTCTTTGAACTGGATTCCAGAATTACATGAAAAAATATATTGTTTACTTATGGGAAAACCTTATATTGCTGGAATATTTTTCTAACAATAACAAACAATCATTAAGGGTTCTTAACATACTTGTGAGTTGGAATGCTTGAATTAATGGTAATTGTTGTCAAAATAAATATGTTGTATAATATTCATTTGTATGGAAAGTAATCACTAAAGTGGAAATAAATGTATATAAATATTAGAAATTAATGTAACTGTATACTTTGTTTTTTATGTGTTTGAATGCAAGATTGGTTTGTGTATATGCTTATTAACCTTTCACATGTTTCAGACAGATCAATTTTCTGTTTTATATTCCAAGTATTAAAATTGATATATTTTGATGTCTTAAATATATAATTGGAGACAGCCCTGTTTGGGAGTTATAAAAAAATATCACCAGTCACAATAACATGTGTTGATAAGAACTGCTTTTTTTTTTTTTTTTTTTTTTTGCCTCTTTTTTTGTTGTTGTTGATTTTTTTTTTCATTATTCAATCAAGAAGATTTTTTTTATCTTTAATGATGAAACACTCAGTTACTTTAATTCAGTAAAGATAAGAAATATGAAGCAGAGATCATTTCAGACAGGTATCATACAGATTTTGCTTTAAACAAATGAAAAGTAACTGTTTTGTCTCATTAATTGAAAAATCTTTAATTTGGCATTGAGCAAACATTATAATTTTGTTCTCCATACAGAAGAGTAACAAGTTTCCATTGCTCAAGGAGGTCACAGTTATCTTAATAATTTTTAGCTCGTTGTAAGTGGATTATCTTGTATTTGACTACATCCAGTATCAATTTTGCATAATTAGTATGTTGTTGTTTACAATAAGATGTTTATTTATCCGTTATTAATGAGTCTTTTATTTTGGTCACTAAGAAGAAATAAAACCTTTCTATGAGGGCAGAATATTATTTGAAAAATGGATTAAACAGATTAATTAATAAGATCAAAAACTTAGATTAATCTAAATAATAAATAATTTTTATATGTAACTGTGAAATAGCAGTAATATTTCTTTATCACACATAAATATCTCCGAACCCCATTGTAAACAAAAACAATTACTTTGAAGATATTAATGTTAAAAGTACTTCGGATTATCAATTAATTAATATATGCTTCAGTTGGTATTTTTATGAATTAAACTGTTTTATTGTCTGAGATCTTTTATTTGTCAGATATTCATCGGGATGACATTTATATTTATTTTATATGAACAAATTATGCTGATTTTGATAAAGTTGTTGTGTACTGTCATGTCATTTAAAAAGATGTATACCAGATAAATAATCAAACTATGGGACATCCCATTGTATTCAGTAAGAATGCAAAGATTATTCAGTCTGGTGTTAAATGCCCTTGCTAATATCGGGCAAATTCCAACTTAAATAAGAGGCAACGATAGTTTATGGATGTTCAAATCTTATAAATCCATTTTGAATAGACAAACCAAGATTTAAAAAAAAAACACGAAAACTAATGTCATAGACTCAAAACGGAGCAAAACCAAGCGCTTCATCAGGTTTAGTATCACCTGCCATGCAAATTCAACTAGAACAAATGTACAGTTGATAAACTTATATACCATAAGACTTGTAATAATGTAAATGATGTAAAATACCATTGACAAAACTATAAAAATGGCTCTATAATATTTCAGGGGCAGTGAATACAAGCTTTTATGCCCTGTCTACGATTGAAGATGGGCATTATGATCCATTAGTCCTTCCTTACCGTATCAGGTTAAAGTTTTTGGTTAGATGTGGTTACATCAGCTTGAAACGTAGTTCACATATTCATTATGGTGTGAACTTCTGAGTCTTACTGATCATTTTGTCAATGACATTTTTTTTCATAAGGCCAATATTAGTACTTTCATGCCTGTGAGAACATTTATATGTAGCTGATCTTTCCAACATTGTTATATTACCTTTCTTGATTTATTCCAGTGATATTAAAATTGATTTCATCTTCCCTAATTTAGATTGCATAATATGTCTTTAAATTAAAATAAATTAAATTTGGTAATTTTTAGCAGATGTTACATTCCAGCTTCTGACTTTACCAATTGTTTTTTTTGTTGGTCAAGAAAGAAAATTTTATTGGGCTTTTTTTTTTTTTTATCAACTTGCATATTGTTAACACTTAATACTTATGCTGTTTATTTTGATTAATTTAAAAAAAAAAAATTGATGTCATTCAAAAAGTTAAATCTGACTAAGATAGAATTCTTCTCATCTGGATGAGAGAACACCATATTGATCAGATAAATGTCAACAACTTTGGAGATAACTTATTTACATTATTTTGTTTGGGTTCCTGAAAAGTCACAGTTTGTGTCATAACCATCTCCTGTTCTTATTAAAGATTTCTATAAGGGAATCTGACCTACTGACATAATTTATAAGGTTGTTACTTAGTTAAAAAGCCAGGGTAATCAAGAAGAATGTTATTATTGACACGAATCGGCTTTATCCTCATATTGTTTTTCACCAGACATTACGCACAACTGAGCACATTACCTTTTGCTTAAATCTAATATTATAGATTGTTTGCATGGAATTGTTACAAATAATTTCAAGGTGTGAATATACATTAATCCCGATTAAGAGAATTTAATACGTAAACAGTTTTATGAAAATGTTCTTTTGAACAATGCCTGAGGTATAAGTTACTTAGTGTGGTTAAGTTAACCTCCTTATTCATTCACTAGATTTGAATTAGAACTTTTATTTATTGCTAAACAAAACAGATCAAAATATAAATATGTATTGTTCTGTTATACATATATATTTATAGGTTTTTGTTATAAAGCTTATTGGCTTACCTTAATACATATATCTGAAGTTTATAAATTCTGTTCAAATTTAAGGTCAAAATGTTCATTTGCTTAAATTTTATTAGAATTGAGGTCAACTTTATAGTATATTTTAAAAAATTGCAAAAAGTTTACTCAATAGTGTAAGAAAATTGTACAATAGTTAACTGTGCATAGAACAAGTTTTGAAAGACATTGAATCTATTATTGTACATGCGTACTTAGTGTCATGGATTTTGTAGGTTGAGGTTAACAATGAATATAACTATTCCACAAAATACAGATATGCATATGTATTCGTTAAAAGCATGAAATCCATAATCCCCGAAAATACTATTTCTCCTCAATCCACAAAGGCTGCCAAGCACCCAAGAAAGTAAATGTATCTACAGTAAACGACATAAAGTTTCACAAGAAAGGAATAGAATTTAAAAAAATAAAAATGCTCATATTTTTTTTTTGTCCTATGTATCATATTGTCATGTGATCTGGTGCTGTGATTTTGCATACTGTAAATTAAGAAATTATTGCATGCATTTATTAATGCAATTTTTGAAGAATGGACAAAAATGTGAGAATATATATTGCGATTTCAGAAAAATCTGTATACAGATATATGTATCAAATATCAGAATGCGAGTTCTTATTATTGCGATACTCAGTCGCATTATTTACATAATTAAAACCTTGCAATGATTTCTGAATTTACAGTATTTCTTTTACTTATTGGTTAAAACTTTTAAGATATGTAAAGAAATACCTGTACAAGACTTATTATCAACATTAAAGTAATGAATTATGCAATGGTTTTAAATCATATTTTTTCAGTTAAAAAACTTGTTTTGTATTATCTTTTTTCAAGTTTGTTTTGTTTTCTTCTTCATAATAAGATGACAATCAGTCATTGCTTACACAAATTGTGACCTTGGTCCTGTCTTGATTTTTGTCTGTGAGTTTCAATGTAGTATATTGGAGAGGGACGAATACAGAAATTGTGTCTTAAAAATAATAACAATAATATTGACAGGCTTCTATTTTTCCTCCAGATGAATGGTCTTGATATTGAAAAAAATTACCATTGTTCAGCTGTAATTTCAGTTTATTGTTTTGTGCTGTAGACTCTATGTAGTGCTACTATTCTAGCCTTTTATCTACTTTGCAGCATGTTATAAGTGATTTTGAAAATAATGCCAATCTTTCTGGCCTTTTTGCAAATATATAAATTTCTGTGTTAATCACTATTAACTTATTATAAAATTTCAGACACTCAACATAGAAAACTAGATTTAGAATGAAACTTGGAAAACAAGTCTTGAATTTTTTGAGAAATTTTACAGAAAAACTGGTTTATATTACAAAAAAAAGGTTTTAACTAGATGATACTTAGATAAGGAAAGACTACACTTCTTTCATAAAGGATACAGGGGTAATTAGGCTGTCATTGGTTCTTTTTTAAGTAATGGTCAATATTTGGATTTTACATACATGATGGACAAGTTTTTTTGTGTATTACAGAGCAATGGCATAATGGATAAAACTGAACATCAAGGAGCAATCAACTTAACATCAGTTCGTGAAAGTACAGAAAGTTTGCAAAATGGCGAAATTCTGAGAAATGGTGACATGACAGAAGAATCTCAGGTACCTCTTTTTTTTCATTATTCTTCTCCTGAATCCTGAATTGGCCCTAAATTTTCACCTACCAAATAACAGTTATTTCCTTCTGGGAATTATCAGGGCTGTAATACTCAAGAGTTGATGATTAGCAGTTTTTTTCCCTTTAGCATATTTTCCATTAATTTGCATTAAATTAGGTGTGAGAGAGAGAAAAATAGTGTATAACTTGAAATGATTTATGTCAAAGAAATTAGTAATTTTTTTTCATTTTTACCAAAAAACTAGTATTACTTCTTCAGAAGTGTAGTAACTGACTTACTGGTATAACATTAAAATGTTAAATTTATGATTCATTACACAAGTTATTGAAATGTGTGATAAAATTGAATTTCTGTATGTCACACTGATATATAGACAAAATATTTCAGAGCACATGTCTCTCTTGACTGCCGTTTGTATTTTAAATTTTATTTTGATTTGAACAAGGACTTAAACATATTTTTTTTTATCAAAAATCAAGGAAACTGGGCAAAAATCTCCCCATGATCAACCAGTTGCAGCAAAAAGAAAGGTCAAGTCAAACAGTGCCATAGAAACAGGAATTGGAATGGGAGGAATACTTGGACAACAGATGGCAATGGCTGCTCAGCATGGTCTGACGGCACAACAGCTTCAGCAATTTTTACAGCAACAAACAACTCCTGCTATTAACCCAACTCAAATTCAACAGTTGATGCAACATCAGTCAATGGTTATGCAACATCAGGTCAGTTTTTTTTATACTGAGGTAATTCTATTTTACAGAAATGAGATAGATATTTTACACGAGTCACTGCAACATTTAGTGTCTTTTAGCTTTATATGAAGGAAGTTCCCAATTAGCCCTCATAAGTGGCATTATCTTTTATACAACTAGATTAAAATTTTCCAAAAATGACACTGATGCTAGCATTGGACTACCATTGCAATTTTTCTATGTCATAAGTTGGTTTTAGAATTTCATCTGAACCTTAGAAGTGTTTGGTCTACCTGGTTATTTGCAATATTTTTTAGTATTTGATTTTTTGTCCTATCCTTGATGTAACTACTACATGTACTTTCATGGACATTGATTTTCTTCTAATATAATTATAATTATAAAAATTACCAAATAGCTGCAAATTCTGCTATTTTTTTAGTTAAAAGAATGATTTCAAAAGCTCAACCATTTACTTGGAACAGTATTTTAAAAAAGTAAGGGACTATCAAATGTTCGGGGAAAAAAAGTAACATCAGTATGATCAGATGTGGAGATTTTGAATGATATATGATGCAAAATATTATAATTATTGTATTAAGATATAACAGTTAGATTAACCCTTTCTTGTTTGTTTCTCATAAATTTAACATGTACAAATTTTGTTTTTCCTAGTATGAAATTATATAATACATGATGTGCATAAATATATCTGCTGACTTTTATATTATTTGTTAAAATTACACCTTCCTTGGCACATTTACCGCTAGGTGTACACCAAAGATGTTGTTTATTGCCTTTGTTGTTAAGAATATAATGACAACCTGCACATCAACAATGTTTTTGTCTTTCAATTGGGTCATAAATATCATCTCACCTGTCTTTAGAAAAAAATATTTGTTGCAAAAAAAGCAATAGGTAATTGGCCTTACTGGTTGACAGGTGTGAAGAGTAAGGGAGATCACTCTGTTGATTGATAGCCAAAAGCCTGTCTGATACCCTCAGGCTATTGACGATGAGAAAATACTGACATAATTATGAGTTTTTTGTATACTTGTTTCATTCATAGATCAAGATAGTAACCATCAAATGGTCTGGAGAATTTCATGACCGGGTTACACAATTATGTCTGTGGCGAAAAAAGATGTATTGTCTCTTTGACATAGAAATAGTTATTTATACAGTAATTGAAGGCGAAATGAATTACTTTTGTAGCAATGAAAAAATACCTGTTAGTTTGTAAATGTAATTTAAAGTCAGTTATTTTTAAAAGTTTGGAAATTTTGGCTTCTTTTGTGACTAAATTCACAAAAAATATTAAAAGAAAAAATACTCATAAGTCATGAACAATTCAGTATAACTTACAATCAATTCTTATGGTTAGATTTTTTGTGAAAAGAGCCCCAGATATGTATTTATCTAGAAACAAGATATTTGGCATGATTCTCCTTTCCATCCTTCAACTGTGCAATATTTAGTATGCTGTTCTTTTAGACTACTTTATTTCTTGTTAATTCAAAGGATATAAATCATGAAGCCTACATGTAGCTATTTTAATTTGAGATAAGCTTACAAATTTTATTAACAGCATGTGTCATAATTGGCATACCAAAAAAGTGTCTTAATTTACATAAGGAATGCTATGTTTTTAAATACAATGAAAATCTCATAAACTTTTCAGAAATTGGCAAATTTGGCTATGTTTGGTAAAGTTCCTTCAATATAATTGCAATTTTTTTCTGGGATAGGCATAACCTCCAAATTTATGCCCAACAAATAGACTCAGACTCTCAAATTTGACTTTAATTTATTAAAATGCATTACATAATTTCAAAAGTACCATAGGTAACAATAAACAATGTGTGGATTGTTATTAAGTGTCAACATTTCATTTTATTTGGGACTGGAGTCACTGGATCCCATCTAATTAGCCATCAACACGACCTCAGGAGATTGTTGATGCATATTATATTGACCCAGTATGAATATAAATATGATAAGAAATGAACTGTTTGATTTCTCATCATAGATAAAACATAAACGATACCAATTTTAATGCACCAGATGCACATTTTGACAATTATTGTTTCTTCAGTGATACTCAAGGCCAAAATATTTGAAAATCAAAAATCTATTACAAATGTTGAAGAGCAGATCAAACCAAAAAGGCTGAATCAGTTAAGGAAATCAGTTTTCCTCCTGGCATCCGTCTTTTCAGTTTTTCAGCTTCCATTCTTTTCTTTAACTGAACATGCTGAACACATGCACAATTAAGCTCCAACTTGGGTCATATCATAGTTTGCATTCATCTGTCTCTAAAGGAAGTTGAATTATTTTTTATATGTCTTCTTCTCACAATCAGTTATTTTTATAAGCTAAAATTTTTATTATTCTGCAAAGCACAATTTCCTGAAAATATTTGAAATAGCTTTAAATTTGAGTTAAAAGACACGATCCTTTGAATCCTATTTATAGTCCATACCAATCTTTCTATACTTATACATACTACATTATAATGCTTTATTACAACTCGGCTAATGCAACTCATGTAATTCTAGAATGATGCCCTCTAATTATAATAAAATATAACTGATTGAATTGAAATGATATTCCATGAAATACTGTCTTTTATAACTGATAAACAAAATATTGCTATTGCTCCAATAGACTAAAAAAAAAAACAAAATTCACATTTAATGTCAGCATGTTTTTGAAAATTTTATGTCTGGTTACAGAAACATTTCTTTAGATTAAAGTGTAAGCGTGATGTTGATTTGTTTGAAAAAATATCCTTACATAAATTACATAAAAAAATTGTAATAAAAGCAACAAAACATTTGAGAAGAACATCTTACTTCAAATGATGAATTACTTTTGTAATTTTCAACCAATAGGTTATAACCTCGTTGCTGATATTAATATAACAATTATCAAAATTGACAAAAAGAAACATGAATTTCACATGTATTATGATCATGCCTCAGTGGTAGCTGTTGAAAATCTTGTAATGTTGACAACAGGGACACAATATAACAGCCCTTGATCTTCTTCATGATAATAGTGTTAGTACATAAAGCCTAGGGTAAAAGACACTTCCGATGTCACATAAACATCTATTTGTTGTTTTGATGACCGTGTTGAATATGTATTTTGTTTCACCTTCCTTGAGGACATATTTGGTAGATTTCATTAACCGTTATCATGTCTTACATCTTAGAGTGTTATGCATGTATTGTAATAAATACTTTGATGAAATCAGTGATTGTAACCTGCATAATATCATTTTTTTTAACTCCCACGCCATCAATTACACTAAAGATGACCTAAAAATCAAGCTGGAATTTTCCTTGAAGATATGCTATGGAAAGTAATATTGACAACAAATTTTATATTTGTATTGCAAAGCTTCAGATAATATGACAAAACAGCTAGAAGATGTGGGTGTCAATGATAAAAAATAATTCTCAGATAATGTTTGTTGAGACCATTTTCAAGTGCACCTTATTTGAATTTTAAAATCACAAAATAATTATCCAAAATGTTGACTCATATTTCTGTAGGGGTGAATTTTAAAATTGACATTACTATTGATAGCGTTGAAATAATTTGAAAGGTCTTATTTTTTAAAACAAATTTAAAAAGTTGTTAATCTTAAAAATAAATATTTGTCAATAATTTGTTTTATTGATTTTGAGATAGATTTATTTTGGTGTCCATAGGTGTATAAATTAATAATCATGTCTGAATCTGTCTGAGAAATACTAAAATAACCCAGACATTAAAAAGAGCTTTCTCATGCAATGGTTCTTTGTTTATTAAGGTGTCCTTATGAATATGAAGCCTTCAAAATAAAGCATATTTACTAATTAAACTTTTTTTTAAAGCATATTTTAAAAAGCCACAAAGTGTACACGAATCTATTATGCAACTTTTTGAAAATTAATAATGTAAGAAGAAAAAGGTATTTATTTTATTAAAAGGTTTCAATTCTTTAATTATCCCAAAAGTAGAAATTGTACCTTGGGTGTTTTACTTTCAATGTTAAATTATATAATTTGTTGTTGATTATCTTCATGATCATGTTTATTTTGTTGGTTATATTAGCAACAGCAAAAACTCCAAGAGCAAGTTCTTCAAGAACTCAATGAACAGTTACAAATGAACATGTTACAACAGTCAAAGCTCATGCAGCAACCAGACAAAGTGAAAAACAGCAAATCACAACAACAGCTGACTCAGTTGGCAGTGCAACAACAACAGCTTGTACAACAGATACAACAAATACAGTTACAACAAAGACAGTTCTTGTTAGCATGTCTAGCCCAGCCTTTTGTTGGTGTCAGCCAAGGTTAGAACCATACATTTATTTCATAGGGATCAGTGTACAGCTATGAATATTGTGTTATTTAGTTATTGCCCTTTTATTGAAGGGTATATCTCAGATCAGTATACTATATTTCATAAGTATGCTAGCAAAATATGGTTTACACTGAGGGACAGGAATTCTTAATATCTGTGCAATAACCTTGTTATGATTTAGAACCAAATATTTCAATTCTCAGAGAAAATTTAACTGATGTACATATTTAGGCAATTTATTGCATATTTTTTTTGTCCCTATTGATATGATAAATTTTTATTCCTTCCACCATCAATCATCAGGATATACTTTAAAGAAATAGTTGGTTATGTATTTTAAAATGTTATATTTTGGATTCACTATTTTCAAATAATATACTGTAAATTCAGAAATTATTGCGATGTTTTTATTATTGCGAAAAATGCGACATGGTTATAATCGCAATAATTTAAACTCGCATTTTGAAATTTTTCATATGAATTAAACAGGATTTTTCTCAATATCGCAAAAATTAAAATCGCATTTTAGTCTAAAATGACAAAATCGCAATAATAAATGCACGCAATAAAATCTGAATTTACAGTATTGCATACAGTCAAATTTTGTGAGTCTGTTCATTACATTGACAAACAATGCTTATAGAACACAGACTTTGAAGGTGTACAGAGTAACATCATGTCAGTCACTACTTAATTCCTGAAGCTTGACAGACAGATAATTGACTGATCCAGAAGAGGATGTTCTGGGGGCTGAAACCCTCCTTTCCTCCTTTTAGATTTGTTTAAAATGGCAAAAAAATTAAGAAAATACTCCTCCACCCCTCCTCTTTCCCCTTTTAATTGGAATCTCCAACTTGATATTTCTAAATATATATATATATATGTATGGATCTGCACCTCAAATTAAGCATTCAATAAAATGAAAGAAACAATGTACAAAATTGAAGTGCCCTTTTATCCAATTTTTAAACGATATACATGTACCGCTATTCCCCGTCTTGTTTTGTAATTTTCTGTTCTGTGTGTTGATGGTTTTTAGCAGATATATAATTAGTGTGGTTAATTTATTTTTGTCCTATTTTGTTGAAATTTAGTTATCACATCAAACTTCAAAGGAACTGTTTAATGTTACAACTGCAAATGCCTTATAAAGCATTCAAAACGGACACATTTGTTCAGATCGCCAGCTAAGGACATCAATGTTGAACAAAATTATCAGAGAAACAGATTCTAAAACAACATTATATGACATTTCTCCATTCTTTGACATAAAAATAATGAAATATGGATTAGAATGGTGAACAAGCCTGTTGTTAAAAACGTGAAGAGAAATGATGAATTTCACTAGACAATACTGTATGAATCTTTATTTTTGGATAACTTATTTCCAGTCAACTAAATTGTTAGCCTTAAACTTGATCCCATAATGATCTTGAAAAAAAGAATAAAAGTAAAGAAAGAGAGGAAAATGAAAAGCAAATAAATCTTAAAAAGATAAACTTATCAACTTTAATATGAAAAGCAATTTATTAGTCCCCTACCGACGAAGTCGAAGTGGACTTTAGGTTTGCACTCTGTCTGTCTGTCCGTCTGTCTGTCTGTCCATCTGTCAGTCCGGCAAATCAGCTTTCCACACTTTTTTTCTTCGTTCTTAAAGATATTGATTTAATATTTGTTCTATGGTTTTATCATGACAAGTTATAGATCAAGTTCGAATTTTGTTCCATTCTGATGATTTAGTCCAGAGTTATGGTCCATATAAAAAATCCATATCTAATGTTAGAGTACAAAAAATGTACTATGTTAAACCATATTTCTATACAAAGAGAGATAACTCATTTTTTTAAAGAAATTCTTAAGTAAATTGTTTGAAAAATTTGTGCCAGTTTGTTTGTTTGTTATTTTGTACTAACTAATTTTCTGAATGCTATATATATATAAAAAATATTATTCAGTGAAATCCTTAAATTAGATAATAATCTATTTTCATTAAGGTATATATTTCATTACATTACATTGTGTAGATAAAAGTTGTTGAGACTTTATAGATAAGTTACAAATCTATATTAGTTTGTGACAAATGAAAGAAAAAATATTTGGAACTATTAACTATATTTGATTATAATTTGAAAATAGATATACATTGTATTACATCATATCTAATTTTAGAGAACTATTAATCATATCCAATGTTAAGAGTGTTTTCCACACTTTTTTCATCATGCTTGAAGATATTGATTGATAATTGGTATATAGTTTTATCATGACAAGTTCCAGATCAAGTTCAAATTTTTGTTTTGGTCTGATAAATTTCTGCAAATTATGGTCCTTGGACTTGAAAAATTCACTCATATAATCAGTTATTCACACTGTTTTTAGTCATGCTTAAATATAATGACTTGATATTTACTCTTTGTTTACACCATGACAAGTTATGGAACTAGTTAGCATTTTGTTCCAGTATAATGTAATTTTTACCCGGTAGTGGGCTATGTATTGCCATGCTTGTTGTTTTTGTAATGTTAGGTTTTAATTATCTACCCCTAATAAGACCTGTACAGTATATCATGGCAATAGAACAATAAATTTTATCAAACAGAATTTAAGATAATTTTTTTTCTCATATTGGTTTGATCAACTGAGAATCTCATGCATAATTTGGTGACTAAATATTAAGTTTTATCTACATTTTTTTTCTAAAAGTGACATTATTCTATCGTAACTTTAGAATATATTTTTTTACAAACTTGAAAAATACTTCCTATCTTTTCACAGTAATTTTTGTTTTTGAAATTTTGTGATTATTTGAGATCATATTACATTAAAAACAGCTGTGTATTACTGGAATTATATATTTAATGGAAAATTAAATATTTTAATGCAGCAATTTGATAACTTTTCCTGAAGCTTTAACTATTACTACATTGTTTTAACCATGCAAATATACATAGTTACCCTGCCTACAGTAGAACTACATGTATATCTATATAGCTGGTTAAGGGTATGTTGAGAAAATGATGCATTTTAAAAAAAATGAAAATTACATGAAAAGTTTGGCGACTTTTTGCACTAATATTGTTCATAATTCAGTGGCCTGACAAAAATTATGCATTGGAATAGTGTGTAATAAGAAATTGTGTATACTTTCATTTTTTTGGCTTGGCCGAACAGTTTTTAATGCCTACATGTAATACTATTCAGAGTTAAAGCCATAGGGGTTCCTCATTCCCCCTTCCAGAAAAAAACCCCCAAAAAAACAAAAAAATGGTAGGTTTGGCATGTATCTGTCATGTGGTTATTCTATAACTCTTTGATTACTTCAACTATGACCAGAAAAATCTTAAAAGTATAAAGAAAGACCAGATACAATGATATCTTAATTGTTTAATTGTGTTGTTGGGTTAATGTCTCATTCATGTTTGCACCACTTATCCTGTAAGTCAGTTACTAATTCTTAGGAAGGGACATAACTCATTTTTAGTAAGAATCAATTCAGAATTCATGTTATTACAGGTAATATTAAAAAGAGCTAAATTAATAAATAAGTTATATTATGACTATATTTTAACTTGCATTATTGATATGGTTTTGACATAACTTGGTAGTAAGTCCTTCCTCCTTCAAATGTGGAAAAAAATATTCCAAAATAATTATAAATATTTAAACACAATATATGACTGAAAGTTTGAAAAATATTAAAAACATTATCACTTAATGTTATATGTAAGACAATGGTATGTACCAGTAATAGAGTATAAGGCCTTAACTGAAAAAAAAAATGAAAAGAAAAAGTATTTCCAAATTGTTGATTGATGAAGTTCAAAAGAGTAAACAAAATTGTGATCCAATGTGGGTGAAATCTCCCATTCTTTTAACAAAAACAAACAACTGTGTTTCTATTAGACTGTGTACCTATTGATTTTGTGCTGACAGTGTTATTTGTTTTAGAAGAAGAATTAAATGATGTTGAATTAAGCTTTTCCTTCTAATTTATCATAAATTGGTGGAAAAAAATAAACAAATATTGACAGTGTTTCTTTATGCATTAATAACATCATTCTTAATTCGCGTGGGTTTGAAAAATAAATGGGGAAAATGTTACATGTTTGGCTGTTCTTGATTGATCCTAAGATTGCATTAAGAATTGAATAAAGCAGTATATTAATTTAATTTTATAAAAACAAATATTATATTTTCTAATAAACACAATTCTATGTGATACTTGTTGCAAACATTTTAGATATTGTTTAAATGATATTACATTTTGAAAAAAAATGGGTATATATAGGGAGCTTGCCTTCTTAGTCTATAAAAGTCAATGCAGTCTTGTTTGTTACAAAATATAAGACATAATCTTGCTATGGAATTTTCATTTGAATTTTATAACTTGATTTTAGGTTACATCAGCTAAAAGTAAAATCAGTCAAGCACATATTCTGAAGGTATTTGACAATAATCAACAGACTGAATTAAAGCATTGGTCCTTGTAAAACTCGTAACAGTTGATCTTTGATACTGTTTTATGATCAGAAAATCTTTTTGAAGAAATAAAAAAATTGCACTGTACGGTGTGAAAAACATGTTATCAGCTGCTGTACCATTATGAACATATGCTGTATAAACCTGAATGACACTTTATGTAAATACATACATGTACAAATACAATTGAAACACATGTTTTTATTTGTAGTTTATGTAAACTGTATAGTTATTTGACATATTTTTTAGGTGTAAATTGTTGTTTAACTCAATTATGTCCAATGGATTTTTGCAGGTGATCATTTAATAAGTTTGAGATAAATTTTATTTATTTCTTCAGCTGTTTAGAGATAAAAAGATCTATTTTTAATCTAGTTTGTTTACAACAACCCTGGGGTGGCCATGATGTTTGTTTACTTAGTTTATTAAATTCCCAGGGATTGTTTACACGTTTATGTACACAACCAAAGTTTTCATATACAAAGGCCATTAATTTCTAACAAAACAGTTTCCTGTTTAGAGCAAGTAAATAATGCAGGAAAGAAAAGTAAACACATTTTAAAGCAATTTTTTTTCTTTTGTGTGTTCAAAATGTCTGCCTTTTTCAAAGATTTTATACCAGTGATGCATCCTTATTACAGTTTTTTAACAGGTTAGTTCAATTATTCCTTCAGAGATTGACTAAATCTTACTTCTGGGGTGAAGGTCTGACTTCTGTATTTGAGGTAAAACCAATTGTTATGAAATATAGGGTATAAATCTTGATAGAGCTTGAATCCTCCCATCAGTCTTGAGTAAAATTCAAAATTTAAAGTGTAATGCTTTCTATGCAAACTCCCCCCAAGTTGTCAAATCATGAACTCAAATTGCAAATTATTTGGTGGTACAGAAATCCAGAACTAAAGTTCTTTCTTTTGGTGCTATACAGATTGAAGCCTTAATGGGTATTTTGGGTAGTTTCTTACTACAGGGGGTAATTAACAACCTTAACTACCCATGAGGGTCTTGCATGGGCGTTACCCAAATCAATTAGAAAAAAGATGATTATTGTAACAGACTAAATTAAATTGCAATGCAGATTTTTTTTTTTTAATAAGCCCTTTAATTGTTCCTGTTTGGTTTTTGGAAAGTATATCAACAAAAAATATAAGCAACACAGTCTTTTTGAAAACTGAATTGAATTTCTAAAAAAATATACATAAACAGCTGATGGTGAAGTCAGACAAACAGGAAATTGTCTATTAGTAATTTGTTAGGATTTGCACATGACTTAATTCAGAACAGATCTTCATATTAATGGTTTAACATAGCTAGTTAGTGTTTATTATGTTCTGGTCTGTTTACATTTCAAGTGGCTTTGTTTTTTGTTGATTTGCAGATTTTTTATATGGATTATAGTATCTGTTGTGAATTATCTTAAAATCTTTCAGATCTTTTGTTTCACTCAAGTTCACTCGTTAGTTATTTTGATAGTGGAATAAGAAAACATACAGGTTGGATTTTACATTAGACAACTATCACATTAAATGATATCTTGTAAATAACATGGACAGCAATAATTTGACACCTTCATAATTTTTTTATAGCCCACACTCCCCCCCCCCCCCCCCCCATTATTCAAATTGAACAGATTGGTGTGTATAAACGGTTATATACAGTTAAAGTTGAAAAAAAATATATATGTTTTTATTATTACAATGTATTGGAATATGTATAAGGTTCAAGGGAATAAACTCTTAAAATTGATAAAATTTTGGTTTCAAGATGATATCTTTTGATCTGTGGATTAAACATTCACCAAATGTAGCTTGAAAATGTTCCTTGCATAGAATGAGTCCCCTATTTACTTTATGGCTTGTGGGTAAGAGGTCAAGGATTCAGTTCCTAAAAATAACAAAAAATTGTTTCCAGCCAATGTCTTTTGAGCCATAAATCAGATCTTAAACAGTCTGTTGGATAATTCATTGTGAGGTGAAAAAGTCACAGAATATTTTCAAGGTTACTGGGTCTAAGGTCAAGGTCACAGGAGCAAATGATAGACTTCAATTGGTCAAATGTTTTGTTTTCAGATAATGCCTTTCAGTTTTGTACCATACATTCAAGCAGTAAAAAAAATATCTTGATACTGTCCTTTTGTAAGAGAATAAGATTGGGTTAAATTTTGTTTCTGGACAATATTTTTTTTATCTACCAAACTTATCCAGGAGAGAAATACAACACATGAATTTGAAGTCTATAAGTCAAAGGTCAAGTTCACAACTGTGATTAAAACTTATTTAAATTATTATTAACCTTTTTCCTGAAATTATTCTTTAAGTGGCATGACCCTTAACCATAAATGCAGCAGTTACCATCCTCAGTTGATTTTATTTAAAATGTCTGCAGATTAGACAGTCTTCACCACCAAAACCAAATTAACAAGAAGCTGACACAACACAAAACTGAAGCTTCTACTATAAATCCATATAGATCCCAACTTGCCCTAAGCACCAAATTGAGCTTTTTTTATATAGATTTGAGCAGCCAACATCTTAACTAATACATTTTAGGCCTCTAATGGCAGTGATTACTACATTTTAAAAATAAAATGTTTTTCTCTATTGCCCTGCAATTAATATTAATGACTATAGATAAAGAAAGACAACCTGAAGCCACTACCAACATATCTAAGATTATATAAACAAATAGGAAAAATGGAATTGGACAATGAAAATGTGTGAACTTTGAAAAGGTATTCTGTAGTAAAGTTTTTGTTTCAATATGTTTCATTAATATACTCAACATTTCATTTTATTTAAAATTTAAATGATATAATATTGGTCCATTATAATTGCAGGGATGATGTCTCCTGTTGAGATTCAGCAATTATGGAAAGAAGTGGCAGCACAGTCTGGTCTACAAGATGAGTCCAAAGCTCACTTTAATGGTCTCAACTCCACACGATCTCAAACCCCTACTTCTCAGGCACTGCCCACGTGGACCAATGGTGTGGCTAACCACCTGTCTCAACACAATATCTCAGGTGCAATACAAAATAATGTGTGGTAATATCTATGGTTATTGAAAACTATATTTTTGTTATAAAAAAAATATTAAAAAGATTAACAAAAAAGCACACTTCATTTCCAGTTGACTGTTTGTTTTGATTGAATTTTGGAGACCTCTCCAGACGAAGAAAGTTATTAATTAACCATTAATAAAACTTTGCAATTTATCATTTTTTATATGATCAGAATTGTTTATATAATGATATGTTTCAACAGAAATATTTTTGTCACTGAAGCTTACCAACTGTAATCAACAATTCAGTTAATTTGGAAATAATCTTATCATTTTATACACTGGTACTGGTAGTTTTCTTTCTATTAGATTTAAAAGTCAAACTTTATTTTGTATTTCAGGTCAACCAAGTCGCCCTCAACCAGAAGAGGAAGATGATGAACCAAAATTTACAACATTATACAGACAGGGACTGTGTAAATGGCCAGGTTGTGATATTCAGTGTGAAAATTACAAAGTATTTTTCAGGTTATTATCTAATGATAAAATCAAAGCTATTATATACACTTATCCCTCAATCATAATTCATCCTAAAAATAGTCGTAGTTAAAAAATAATTAGCCAGTCCATATGTTTTCAAAGCAGTTTTCCCACTAAGGTCATGATAATCAAATTATTAACCTGTGATTGTTTTTTGTGTATAAATAAAGTTTTTAACCAATCAAAGTTAAACCAGATTTGTATCACCTTGGCCGCTACGATTGTGAAGATGATCTGTTACAAATATCAGTAAGAGGTAACAGATAGTCTACCAATGTTCAAAACTTGTAAATCTATTTTGAATATACAATTTAAAATTTGAAAAAAAAGTACTAAGGGAATCGTATGAAATCCAAATTGAGCGAGATCAGGTGTGTAAACAGGGTAAACTTCACCTACTTTGTATGCATGACCTGTCATGTAAATCCAAACTCAGTCAAAATGTCATGATAGGGATAAGGACACTTGGTAACTCTACAGACCAGCAGCCGGTTGTACGAACGTGACATTAGCCTAATAGGTCATTAAGTCTTCATTAAGCCTTTATGATGCATTAGGCTAATGAAGACTTAATGACTCATTAGACTAATGACATGTTCGTACAACCGGCCGCTGATAGTAGAGTGCTTTATGTTTACCTGTCTGTGGGACTGTTAGTTATTCTACCATCTTGTGTCAGGTTTAAATTTTAAAATAGTTAACCATGAAGTTGTGGTCACAACAACTTGAACTTAGTACACATTTCATTTTAATGAACTTTATAAAATGTGCATCAAATTATGGTTTGACCTAGATTTTGTGGTTGACTGAACTTGGAAATGTGATAGTGCAATTTGGGCATTGTCCTATAGATACATATTCTTGTTTTATGAAGTTTTAGTATAAAGGCTTAACAAGGTGTGTATATGTTTATTCCAGTTGAAAATTTATAAAATCATTTTATGGGAAATTTAAGTTTATTTAATAGCTTTGAAGTGGTTCTTAAATATACTGACCTCTTAGAATAAAGATACTACTTGTTATTTGACAATTAATCCATTGATATTTACAAAGCATCACTTGTGTAGTAGTATATAACACTTGTTTTGAACATAAGTGTTGTAGATTGGTATTTAACATGTGTTTTGAAATTAAGCATTGTTGACTGGTATTTAACATGTGTTTTGAAATTAAGAATTGTTGACTGGTATTTAACATGTGTTTTGAAAACAAAAGTGTTGTTGACTGGTATTTAACACATGTTTTACACATAAGTGTTGTTGACTGGTATTTAACACATGTTATGCACACAAGTGTTGTCAATCCGTCATACTTGTATTGTCTAATTGAATGTAAACTGGATGGTCCTATTCAGATGCCTTTTGTTGTAAGATTGTCTCATTTCTTTGTACTTGTCTATTCTCAGTGTTCTCCCCAGTATTTTGAAATAGCACCATGGGATTTGAAATCTAAAATCATAGCCCCATATTTCTTAGACATTCACTTATAAGATTTTTTCAGATATCACCATGCTTGATGCTGTAAGGCCCTAGGGGTTATAAAGTAGCTATCCTTCTGATTCATTTTGATTAAAAACTAAGTGATTGTCTTAACTGATTACACCTTTTGTTACTTGAAGAACTAATGTGGATGACAGATGATTTGTAGCCTTTGTAAATATATTCACTATCTAGATTAGGGTAAGTAAAACTGCTTTGGTCATAAATGTTATCCCTTTTTATGTACCTTGTCTTTCAAGTTGTTTTATGTGTTGTTGGGTTGCTGTCTCATTGGCATTTCCCTTATCTCTATTTTATGTACAAAAGAAAATCATATTTTTACAGACATATCAATGAAGACCACCATCTTGATGATAGAAGTACAGCTCAAGCAAGAGTACAGATGCAAGTTGTTAGTCAACTGGAAATACAGGTATGTACATCTCCTGGTTGTTATTCACACTTAGTACAGGTATGTAACATATTCTGGTTGTTATTCATATTCAATACAGGTATGTACATCTTCTGGTTGTTATTCATATTCAATACAGGTATGTACATCTCCTGGTTGTTATTCATAATTAGTACAGGTATGTAACATCTTCTTGTTGTTATTCATATTCAATACAGGTATGTACATCTTCTGGTTGTTATTCATATTCAATACAGATATGTACACCTTCTGGTTGTTATTCATATTCAATACAGATATGTACATCTCCTGGTTGTTATAATTAGTACAGGTATGTAACATCTTCTTGTTGTTATTCATATTCAATACAGGTATGTACATCTCCTGGTTGTTATTCATAATTAGCACAGGTATGTAACATCTTCTTGTTGTTATTCATATTCAATACAGGTATGTACATCTCCTGGTTGTTATTCAAACTTAGTACAGGTATGTTACATCTTCGTCTTGTTATTCATATTCAATACAGGTATGTACATCAACTGCGATTCTTTTCACAAAAAATCTTACGATTAAAATTGATCGTAAGTTATACTGAAATGTGTATGACTTACGAGTATTTTTACTCTTAAGATTTTTTGTGAAAAGAGCTGCAAGTTGTTCATCTTCTGGTTGTTATTTATATTCAATGCAAGTATGTTCATCTGGTTGTTATTTATATTCAGTACAGGTATGTACATCTTGTTATTCATATTTAATATTGATATGTTCATCGACTAGTTGTTATTTGTATGTGTGGGCCTCAGGGAAGATTAGTTTGTTGCAACTAACTGTGTTTACCCTCTTTAAATAAAGAATTTATTATTATTATTATTATTATTATTATTATTTATATTCAATACAGGTATGTACATCTGGTTGTTATTCATATTTAATACAAATATGTGCATCTGGTTGTTATTCATAGGTAGTACTGGTTTACCTCTCTGCCAAGCACATGGCATTAAGGAGTAGAGCAGATTGGTCTGCTAGGAGTCACAATAATGTGTCAGGATAGGATGACATGACTTCCTGTAAACAAGCAGGTTAAAAATCTGACTTAGCGTATTAGGCCAGTACAAAGCAGTGGTCATATTCATATCTTATTAACATTTTTATGCCCCTGTCGTAGCGGAGGGGGCATTAAGTTTTACCCTTGTCCGTACTTACGTACATACGTACGGACATATGAGACCATGACCCTACTGATTTTGAGGTCACCACTTCAAAGGTTAAGGTCATAGCTACTTAAATTAGATAACAAATTGTGGAGAAAGGCAGTTTCCAGATGCTAAATTAAATATTTTATATTGGATTACAACCTTACATAGTTCTAAATGCATCTCAAATAAAAAAGGATTAGTGGTATCTGCTTCTGAATGTTACCTTTGAAAATGATGGAAATAATCTTTGCTTACAAAATGACAGTAATAAAAAGAATTTTATTGATGATGGGATAAATTGAAAAATGTCTTCTGATACATAATATAAGTATTTCTAGAATTGCCTTTAACTTTCCAGAATTGTTTTACAGTCCTTTAAATCTTTCTTATTAGCTTAAAGTATAAAATGTCATTTAAAAATAGTAAAGGTCAAGGTTCAGGGAAAATTGTTTGCTAACAGCCAAAAATAGGCATCACAGCTCTGTTTATCATGACCAGTTGCTTTTGTTTTTGTAAAAATATGTCAATGCATAATTCATATGTAAAATGAGCAAAAAGTAAGGGCAAAGCCATTTATCTTTAAAGTTCTGTAACAATAGTTATAGGATATCCAATGATAATAGCCTGATATATGATGATGTAAGCATATTACAGATACCATTGAAAATTACTTTATATTTATATTTAAAAAAATCAAATTGGATACATTGTTTTGACATTGTAATAACCAATCATCAAATCATCAAATCCATCTGATATAAGAGGTATAAATATTCTATAAAAGCAAAAGTCAATTCTTTGTACTATCAGATGAGACTAGATTAGTTTCATTTTATCTTTGTAAACTGAACTTTGTTTTTTCGTCTCACATTTCCTTACTGATTCGTAATTGTTGATATGCATACCAATTTTGAAGTCAATTATCCAGGCACAGTAAGGTAGGATGAATTAAAAAAGGAAATACAACCACAGAAACCTCTGAACTTTACATAAATGTTCATGAAAGTGATCAATTTCTTTATGAAAAAATGAGATGTTAGTTATACATCAATTAGACAAAAACCCAACAACAAAAAATAAAGAAAAGATATCTAGAGATCAACGTCATCAACAAAAGACAGGTTTTAATACAATATGACAAGATCTAAATCATCGTGTGGTTAGGAATACAAGATTGATTGTTTCACCATTTTTGCAAACATACTCCAATACGTTTTTGTGAAGTACATAAAAATTTCAAGATAATTATCACTTGCTCTGAAAATTTACATATCAATATGTTTAATCTGCTGATTTCATAATTGGCATAATAAGTGATGATTACTTGACGAAATGACGAATTAGGATGCGTAATTTTAAAATCCAGTTTTAATACTTATTATAGACAACCTTGCGTGGGTGCAACTACTTGTTTTTATTTTATTCTAGCGTTTTGAACTTTCTATGATGATCAGAATAGAGATGACCATATCCAAGAAAATTTATACAAGGTTTTTCATAGTCTAAGTAGTACATGACTTTTGTATTGTAACAGAATGCCCCAAATTCTATTTAGGTCATTGCATCTTATTTAGCCTGCTGAATCAGTTACTTTAGTTCAAGTATTTCCTCTAATTAAAGAAAGGAAATTTGTTTACAATTGTAGCTCCATCCTGATATTTCTTTATTGTTCTCATTTGAATTAAGAGGATGTTGTTAACATGCAATTGTTTCTTTCCACTTCTACTTGTAAATATTATTCTGTACCATTGACATACATTGCACGGTGAAAACTTTAGAAATACTGGCCAGAAACTTGAGAATTTCTTCGTTTCATTTTTGAAGTACCGGTAAGTTTAATGGATTATCTATCCAATCAAGAATCAAATAAAGTACTCTATAAATAAATTTAAGTGATGTTTTTTTTCAAAGAATATTTGCACAGGATTGTAAAGACATGATAATTGTCACTTTTGGTACTGAATTAAAATTGTTGGCTTATTTTAAAGGCTAGAGATGTGTATGTGTCCTCCTGTCAATCTGTTACCAAAAAACTAAAAATTTCAATTTCACTTGTCCTGCTTAAATCTAGAGACCCAAAGGTCAGTATGAGAAATTTTTGGAAGAGATTATTTAAGATTTCTGGAAATGAATTAGGGAAAAGTACTTACATGATTGATAATCTAACTCTAATCATGTTTTCAAATAATAATGGACTTATTTTATAGAAATTATTCTAGAAAAGATATGAATGAAGTCAATATTTGTGTTTTGCCTCTGATTTCCATTGAAGATTTAAATATGACTGCTGTTTATTTATATTCTTTCAATTTGTCTTGCCTTAGAGTAAGTAAATTCATCATGTTGGCTACATGTATTTCTATTAAGAAAATATGTGATTGCAATTAGTATATTTACAACTTACAAAAAAGGGAAAAGATGAGCCAGTATTTTATATCATCAATTTTCCATATTTATTGTGATTTATGCAATGGAAAATATTTAATGGCTCAAACATACAGTAATGACATGTTGTACCTACAGACAGGTGATAATTACATGGAATTAATGTATTGGCTTTAACAGTGTCACAAGGTGTTAACAACATGATTGGGGAAAAAATATTGGATTTAGGTCAGTATGTTGACTTGATTGCGTAGGACGGTGCACTTATATAGACAGAAATAAACAGGGATGAAGTATTGATTTTTATGAAATATCTGTGTTATGAAGATGACAGAAATCTGTTGCAATAGGAATCGTTGTGAGTGGGAAGAAAACACAAGTCTAAGAAGGATCAAGTTGATAAATAAATGTTGCTTGTTGTTTGATGCTATAAAAAAAAATCTTTATTGCATTGTTTTTCCTTTGGATCTACATACTTTACTCAAATAAAGGGCTGAGACAATAGAAAGGATCCCAACTTTATTTCTTTTTTATTGTTGTGCAAAGGTATCTTGTACTTAAATATATTAAAATGTTTTTGAGGTAAAAAAATATGTCAGATTTATAATCTAGAAATAAGAATTATTGCCATTGATCTAGCACATAAAACAACATGTTAAAATTGTTTGTCATTTCAAAATTTGTTAAAAAGTTCTCTTACCCTAATACAGAGCATATGAAACAGTCATGTAATATTCCTTTTCTGATATGATCTTAATATGCCTGAAATATTTGCCATTGGGTGTTGAGCCACCAACAGTCAATCAACAATTTCTTATTGGTCAGTAAATTTTAATTATTTACTTCTTGACCATAACCACTTTTACAACCAGAAATGTGCAAGAAATGTATTTGTTTAAAATAAGAAAGGGGAGTTCTTTAGTGGAAGATGGCAGTTGATAATGCGTCACTATTATGTTTTAAATACATTTATGTTGTCAGATGGTACATTGTATTAATATGCAAAAATCAGTCATACATAACAGTTAGTATAAATGCCATTTTAACTTGCTTTTGCCAGTACTTTAATATATGCCAAAATCATCTTTTGGTGTATGATGGCTTTTATAAAGTCAGCCTTTCTTATGAAGTGAATCAAGTCTAAACAGAGCCCCTTCAGGACTGAAGGTTTTGTTTGGATGTATAGACATGAGTTTTATTTAAGGTAGTATGGGAGTCTGAACCAAAAAATGTCTGCCCATCCATCCCATGACATTTATTTCATTTAGCTCAGGATTCACTCGTTTCCTCCATAAATTATGCAATTAAACATTGAAAATAAAATCTTAACAGTGAAGTAAATGCTGTTTAATGACTAATAAAATGTATATGTTTCAAGAAATTTTGATTGGCAGATATTAAAAAAAATACAACTGAATTGAAATTGATAGGGCCCAATAAGCAATGGGCCCACAAAATTTGTTGTTATTATTAAATGAGAATATCTTTATTTTGAACCAAAAATGAGGTTGACTGTTTATATTTTGTGATTTTAGAAATTTAAAGTGGACATGTAGGTTTCAGGAATTTGAGTATTATTATTTATGGCTTAAGGTATGTTTTTTTTTATGATAAAAGCTATTATACTGATTTCCTTTTTCCAGTTAACAAGAGAAAAAGAGCTCTTACAAGAAATGATGAGACATCTTCATATGAAACCAAATGATAAAAATAGCACTGTGGCTGAAGTTCAGAAGCCGGTATGGTATTTTTAATTTAATTTAATTTTATTTCATTTCATTTTCTTTATATTTTTTTTAGTTAAATAGAAAACTTGTAACTAAATATTTATCTTCATGACTAACCTTGTTTGCCTAGATTTGGTAAGTTTTGGTTTCTTTATGAAAAAATATTCAATAACAGACACAACTTTGTCTTACAATCATGCAAGTTACCTTCAAACTGGTTTTTATGGTGCTTTATTCAAATTTGCTTTCCATATCTTAGTAATTTAAAAATACATGTATTTGTCATTTTACAGAGGGCTCCAGTAATTATCAGCACAGCAGCAACAGAAATGCCTACATCTCCACAATCAACATCGACACTTTCAAGCTTATCAGTGCCAAGCCCTCCAAAGATGACATCAGTGATAACGAGTCCAACAAAGATCCTACCTAGTTTACACATGTCTGCATCAGCACCACCTACTCCAGTGTCATTGGTATCCCACCCAATCTCATTGCCGATCGTGATCCCTCCACAGCTGGGACATACATCGATATCAAAACCGCCCACTCCTCAGTCCCATTCCATGTCACAGCCTTCTACTCCTACCAGTATTGGTCCAATGAGACGACGAGTGTCAGATAAATGTAATTTACCAATATCAGCAGGTAATTCATTGCTTTTAAAGTTAAATCTTTCAAGTTTTCTTTAAATTCTTCAAGCATAGATAACAATATGTCCTTACTCTGTGTACCCCACCTCAGAAAGTGATTTTAAAATGAAAAATTAATACAGGGATCACCATGACCTTTTGTAGCGTGGTGGTGCGCCATGCTTGAATTTCCCTTCACCACCTTTTATTTTCATGCACCACGCTTAATTTATTGTCCACCATGCTTAAAAAAAAGATCACATTTAAAGCAGTTTAAAAAGTTTGACAAGTTTACAACCCCAAGGCATTTAACAGTCATAACAGTTGTCATAAATTGTTGTAACAGGCAATCGACTTATACTATGGGTCATTACTGATCATCAAAATTAATTCATACAAAAAGCATCGGTCAGTCAGCATTTGTCATTTCGACAAACGACCACACAGTTTACCACGTTTATCATAGTTTCATGATGAAAAGTGACTTGACAGAAAGACGAAAATTGTAATGAACTTATAAAAAACATCATTTTACTTGAATTCCATTAAAAATGTTAAATTCAGAATTTTTGTCTTTGCCTGCCCTCACTTTTGATAGTGAAATAACATAACAGCTGCCATTGATTGTATTTAGTTCTACTGTGTATTATCCTCCAGTGAAGTAGGAGCATATAGGAATACCAGAAAGATTACTCAATTATAATTTTTCCTAGTTATTGAAATACCTACTCAAGATATGTCTTCACACTTCTGACCTAATACTTTCTTTTGAGTATTCATTATAATAGTCCCATTAGTCCCTGTTTTGAGACATAACAGTCAAAACAAAAACATACAATATGTATCTTCTGAAGAAAAACAACTAATTTGTTTTAATCTTTATTTTGTTATATTTTTATTTGTATACTGAAATAGAAAGTGAAAGTAAAAATGTTTTCTTCATGTATTTATGTATGTCAAACCACAAATGTAACTCCTAGAAAAATATTGACGTTATGTCCAAGAAGGGATGCAAACGCAACACATCCTCTCAGAATTGATGACATCTTGAATTGATTTTCATTCTGTGGTGAACCCTGAAATATTTACTGTGAATTCAAAAATAATTGTGCATTTATTATTACGATATTTGATCAGTTGACCATAATGTGAGACTTTAATCGATACTATTTTAGGAAATACTGCTAATAATAAATGTAATCAAAATTTAAAATGTCAGTTATAATTGATGCCCTACTAATTAATCCTGTCAAATATTTAAATTTATAAAAACATCACAAAATTTTCGGAATATGCAGCCACAATTTTGCATAATTTTTTTTAGAGGATTCAACATGTTACTTTTAAAACAAAATTTTGTATAATTTTTTATAAATAAATTGATGGTAATAGAATTGCATGAGAAGTTAGGTATGATTTTACAGTTCTTCATTTTGAAAAGATGCATATTAATATATTTTTAGAAATCCAAAGAAACCGAGAATTTTACAAGAATACAGATGTCCGCCCACCTTTTACATATGCCTCTTTAATAAGACAGGTAAGTCTTGCTATTTAATTTTGGCAAACATTTTTACATTTTATTTAGTTTATACTTGTTTTGTTAATTCCAAATAAATCAGACAACAGACAAGGGTTGCTAACATTTTATCAATTTGCTGCATTAGGCATGCATCTTGAAAGTTACCTTTTTTCTGGCTGTGAGATGCAGTTAAAAGTAATCTATTGAAATAGAACACTCTACAACATGATATGATCTAAGGGAGATAATTCTTTTTTTTTTTTAATGTTTTAGGCTATTATAGAATCTCAACATAAACAGCTGACGTTAAATGAAATCTATCAGTGGTTCCAAAATACATTTTCATATTTTAGACGAAATGAAGCCACATGGAAGGTATGTTAAATATATTATTGAGATCGAATAAGATACTGAAAAACAGTTAGCCCGCAATAAGATAAATTCTTATTTTTTTTTAATGTTTTAGGCTATTATAGTTTGAATCTTATGGAAACTGATAGAGTGCTTTTTGTCAAGCCTTCGACTTTAGTCGAAAAAGCAAGACATAGCGATCCTACATTCCATCGGCGTTGTCGTCGTCGTTGTCGTCGGCGGCGTCCACAAATATTCACTCTGTGGTTAAAGTTTTTGAAATTTTAATAACTTTCTTAAACTATCCTGGGTTTCTACCAAACTTGGACAGAAGCTTGTTTATGATCATAAGATAGTATCCAGAAGTAAATTTTGTAAAAAAAAAAATCCTTTTTTTCCTTATTTTACTTTTAAATGGACTTACATTTTCTGCCAGGAAACAACACATTTACTCTGTGGTTAAAGTTTTTAAAATTTTAATAACTTTCTTATACTATTTTGGATTTGTACCAAACTTGGACAGAAGCTTGTTTATGATCGAAAGCTAGTATCTAAAAGGAAATTTGGAAAAAAATAAATCCATTTTTTCAGTATTTTACTTTTAAATGGACTTAGATTTTCTGCCAGGAAACAACTCATTCACTCTGTGGTTAAAGTTTTTAAAATTTTAATAACTTTCTTATACTATTTTGGATTTGTACCAAACTTGGACAGAAGCTTGTTTATGATCAAATGCTAGTATCTAGAAGGAAATTTTGTTTTCTTCCAGTTAACATTACATTCAGTCTGCAGTTAAAGTTTTTAAACATTTATTAGATTCATAAACTATCCTGGATTTTTACAAAACTTGGACAGAAGCTTCTTACAATCAAAAGATAGTATCAAGAGGAATATTTTTATTGATTTACTTCCTCATTTTTGTTGAGCCTGCGATTAACAGAAAAAGTAGGCGAGACACTGGGTTCCGCGGAACCCTTACGAATTTTTATACCATATATGTTTGGTGAAATTTTGAAAGGATGGACACACTAATATATGAAAATAAGAAATAAAAAAATATGTAGAAAAAATAGAGATAAAGATTCATTAAAGATTTGTAAGGTGGATGTCCAAGACGATTGCTGCAAGAAATTGATATAATTAATCGGGTATTGAATTTATTGCACCGCAGTGAGCAATGAATGGAAGAAATTGAATTCACCAATGAAGTTTTACGATTGATTTAAGTAGATTTGTTAGGTTATGAGTTGTATATTTCCTAAAATTTGTTTTAAATGACAAGATTTTACTTGTGACACACAAAGCATTCTCAATGAATCAAAGAATGCTGTTTTCCGAAGTCAAAATGTTTCTACTATAACTTTAGAAGGAGAAAAATAGGTTATCCTTATGCGTGTGTTATAGGTAATGATGCATATGACTCTTCTACTCATAAAAAAAAAATAAAAGTAAACGAAAATAATATTTCACAAAACTATATTTATCACTGAAGTAACGTTTTGCTTTGCTCTCAACTTTTGAAGCATTTTATTTATTTGTTTTATTCCACTAAAATTTTGAAACAAATATTTTTGTTGCCTTTTGTACTATTTATATCAAGCTTATATTTAAATTTTTTCATATTCTTTAAAGGGAAAATTCGTGATTTTTTACTTTTCATCTTATTATGTTCATAATACCATAAAAAACATATTTACCAAGTTTTATCTGGATATGAACACTAATAAAGAAGAAAATTGGGAATTAATAATTTAATTTATTCCAACTTCCTGACTTATGTGACATAGTTTAAGTCTTTTTGCATGCCGGGAGTGAATAAATTTCATTGTAAGTCTTGTTCGTTAATCATCTAATAACGCGATTTAAAGCGCATCAACGACTTTTGGCGTAGTATTAACCAACTAATAATTAAGAAAGTAAAGTGATCAGCCGTGCAACTTTCAAAATTAAAATGCACGATTTATATTTAAAGGATTTCTGATATGATTATAATATATTACTCTCATTTAATATTTTATGCATAAGTGCAATATTAGGAATGGTTTATCCCCCCTCCCTTTTAAGCTAACTAAATAAATTAATCAACCCTCTAGCTGATCAGACGTTAATACATCTACTATCAGTCTATTCGGAGTGAAGTTTCTTTATTTCTTCAAATAATCTTTTTGGGGATCATTAGTGTACGACCAGTGGCATATATATTACATGCAAGTCGGAACAGGAAAATTGACATGAGGTACTACCGGTATGATAGAACCATGTTCACATTATTACATTATTATACATAATACACAAACATTGAGATGATGACGACTTTCTTAAACTGTTCAAAATAATCTAATTGAAATAAAAATCTGTGATTTTACTATGTGCATAACTTCGATGAACCAAAGCAAGTTAGATATCGACCTGTATTTAAATCAGATTGGTTTTGAATGTTTCTCTCGTATATTCAATATACATGTATATATTCTAAATTGCGACTATCTATAGTTCCGTAACCTTCTATCTAGGCGTATAATCCAATGATCGACAAGTGCGAACATTTTGTTAAATCAATATTTGTACGTTTCAAAATGTCCATAATTATTGACAACGAGTAATTACTTACATTTTCCCCAATTTACGTTTCGAAAATATGTAAATATATTTTTATTTTATCAAATCTTTTTTGGGAATTATTTAGATTTTCATAAATATTCTGTACACCATAAATGTTGTTTATAAACAAGCGTATGAGTTTAGTCATATATATAATGGCTATTATATCTATGGTTTAGTAAAGACTAGCATATCACTATCGAACATGCAAGACAATGATGTATATTCACCTGATAGTTTCAAAATGGAAAGTTACAAGTTATCGGCCGTGTACACTTCTCAATACCCCCAGAGGTGAAGTGATGCACGAACTTGCTTTATGTAATTGTGTAATAAGAGTTTTAAAGCCCGACAGGAAATCGCTTGAATACCTGGACGTGTCAACTCACAATACCTCTGGGAACAATTCCTTTAGCCATGCTGGTGATCAGATAAGGGAAGGTCCGAATTTATTTAAATAAGATTATTACATAAATGAATTATGAACACACTAGATTTTCGAAAACATTTTTACACGGAACACTTAATTTATCACTTTGAACTTTTTAACTAATTTCCATTAAAATTTCTTGTTTCAAAAACTTAGTTAAAAAACTGTTTTAAAATGACAGACCATAGTACTAGTTATTCCAAAAAAATTATATATAATTACATTTTCCGTATCAAGTTAGTTAGGAAAGGTTGCATGCACAACCATGTCTATTATAATCCTGTTTTCTGACCCGGGAAACTGTTTAGGCTTTCCTTGTCGGGTCAAACAACCGTACGCTTGACAAGATATCGACACTCAATTACGGCTACGTTAGGTTACTGCTTATTTTGGTCCTTTGTGGTTTATAGATATATATCGTGGTTTCTATTCAGGGATGATGTCAAAATGGCCGCACGCGGAGAAGTGATACTCTAAATTTAAAATTGATGGTGATCTCTTATCTAGCAGAATTAAACTTTAATATTTTTGAAATTGTGGTTTTTTATACATAATCATTTTAATTTTTTTGCGAAGTATCCCTTTAAGAGTATTATTTCAATTGCTTTTATAATTTTATTTCAATTTAACATGAATGCTCCAATGCCTAGTAATTTTTGGTTTCTGTTTTGTTGGTAGAATGCTGTTCGACATAATCTTAGCCTTCACAAATGTTTTATGAGAGTTGAGAATGTTAAAGGAGCAGTTTGGACTGTTGATGAAATAGAATTCTACAAGAGACGGCCTCAAAAATTGGGAGGGTATGTCATTAAAATCTCCATATATGGCTTATCTATTACATGATTAAATTGTTGCATAAATATGAACATTTCTTCAATTGCTGTGATTTTTTTTTTTTTTACTTTTATATAAACATGTAAAATGAAACCTTTATATGACAAGTTAAGGATAAAATTGAATTGGAAAGTGATATTGAAGAAATTTTCATTGACATATAGAAGCATACTGCATGTTAGGTTTTTACAAAATTAAAATTTTGAGTATATGATTAAAATAAGTGTCCATCTGAACTCCAAAATTATACTTTTATTATTTATTTTATTTAATTGAATAAGTAGAAAAAAATTTGAGAACATATTCCTTTTTCTTTAGTTGCTTCAAATGCAGTATGTTCTATTAAGTGTGTACTGGATTACTTCTGCATCTTAAAAGCTTTAAAAGTTATTGTGCATATTTCAAATACAGCATTTGACTGATTTGTGTATAAGTGTTGGTTTTAGTGTTGTTCCAGCTGCAGAAGTCTTGTTGTACAAATAAGTGAGATTAGTTTTAATGCTGTTCAAAGTATTTCAAAATGCTCAAAAATGCTTTTTACATTTCGTCCTTGCTAAACAGAATGCTATAAGAACCAACTTGTCTCTACATAAATGTTTTGTAAGATTTGAGGAAGATAATGAATCTTTCTGGTTAGTGGATGACATTGAATTTATAAATCATAAACACCTCAGTCGTGGTCGACCTAGAAAACCCTCTATTGAACTGTAAGTTCACTGCCACAAAATCATTCTTCAGTATATTGTTATTACAGTTTAGTCATAGTTTTTATTACCCAGATTTTGGTTTGAGCAGTAGAAACTGGGAATTCCATAAGGACCATTTTTCTTTAGGAGGATACATTTTTTCTCTGTCTTTTGAAAACTGTAATCTCTGTTCTTTTCCTATTAGCATTATTTAATTAAGAGAAAATATTTATCCTCAAAAAATTTCTACTTTCCAAGATTTATTATCTATGACTTCTCAGATTGTTGTTATCTTTTAGTCCACTCTTCAGTATAAAATAGGGTAAATTACGTCAATCTCAAGTTCTGAGAATTTACCAAGATTGACCTTACTTTTGCAAATGATCACTTTTGGTCTTTGTCAAACAAATTCTGTTGTGTTGCTGAAATAAGTTAGAAAAGTTTCATTTCCTTCTATGGTAGACAAACTGGAGATATGGTTTATCGAGTCAAGATCTTTAAAGAATTCACTGCACATCTTTTATATTAAATGGTAAGGGACTTGTGTCTAGTAAATAAATAAATACTTGTAATTTGAGAGGATTTGATTATTTTCCTTTTAGGAGTATGGGAATGAGAGAGATACCAAGTCCTGGATCTGATCCTTCAGTTTTTGGAGATAGTCTAAATGCAAGTCTTAGGGTAAGTTGATTGCTGATTTTAATTAAAAATAAGTGAGGTCATAATCCCTCTTCAAATATGATAATTCAAAAAATTGGTATACAATTAACATCATTATATTATCGCCTATGGTAGGGAAAAAACAGATTGAGCAGTTGTATGTAAAATTTATTCAACAGTAAGCTCTTAAAGAAAGCGCACAAAAGTTCATAATGAATAACAATAATGTCATTTCAAAATTTGTTTTTCAATTTTTGAAAGCTGGCCTTACCTTCTGAATCTGTTTTTTATGATAATTTTGTTTGACACACTGCTTTAACCTTCACCTATGACATTTAAAATTACTTAAAACAGCTGTTTTATATATTAGTATTTTGTTTGAAATAAATCATTTGATCTTCTAAAAAAATCATTTGATATTATAAATAAATCATTTGATCCTCTAAAAGAATCATTTGATATTATAAATAAATCATATGAGCTTATATTCAGTTGATACAGCCTTTATTTTACAAACAATTCAATTTTAATGTAACAGCAATGCAAATTTGCTTTATTTGAATTGCAGATAAACTAAGCATGTGCTATTCCTTTTCCTTGTTTTATCATGAACAAAAAGATAAAGAGAGCTCGGTGAAACTGTTCTTAAAATTCAGCCTTTATACTTTGTCATGCAATGTCATCCGTCCTTCTTAGCAGTGATTAGTTATCACAATTTTCTCAATTTCTTGATGTAGTTTTAAGTTCCCAATGATTTATATATGAGTTATTTCTCTTCTTGCGAAATAAGTCGTTCATGAAAATTAATTGGTTTACAGTATAAACTTGTATTGAGTGAACTCCCTTGTTTTTTTTGTATAGACCAGACTGCTCTTTAAAATTGTAAATAACTTGTATTGAGTGAACTCCCTTGTTTTCTATGTTTTTTTTTGTATAGACCAGACTGCCCCTTAAAATTGTAAATAACTTGTTTTGAGTGAACTCCCTTTTTTCTATGTTTTTTTTGTATAGACCAGACTGCTCTTTAAAATTGTAAATAACTTGTATTGAGTTAACTCCCTTATTTTCTATGTTCACTGACTGATATTTATATCAAAATATGAAGACAGCTATTAATGTATGTCTCTATTCATTCCTGGCAACTGATTTTGTTTTAAATAAAGAGACACCTTTTTTTAACTTTCAAATATTATTATTTTTTAATCTACAATGTTCTTTGAATGTAAATCCATATACACCTGTTTTTGTTCACACATTTCTGATCAGTAGAAATGCCTTAACTTTTTTCTGTTGACAGGCAGCAATAGAGCAAGCTAATATTCATTTTATGAACAATCAGAATTATTCCAATGGTGAATCATCATTAGACGGAGCTGAAGATCTTTCTATGAAGTCAAACAGAAATGACAGTTCAGAAAGCCTTTCAAAATTTGATTTTCCTTCTAGGTAAGCTAGATTTTAATTTTTAATTGAAGGATGTTGAACTAAACCTGTTCAGTTTAAATTCAGAATGTAATGCATATATTTATTATATCAAGTAGGATATACCAAGAAAAAAAAACTAGATGCAAGTATTTATGACTTTCCTGTTTTTTTTGTGTTTTTTTTTACAGGTTGGTTTGGGGGGGGGGGATGTCTGTCCTGTCTCAAGTTAAAATTTTGTTTACAATTGTTAACCATGAATTAGTGGTCACATCAACTTGAATCTTAGCACAGATATAAAAATAAGGAGATGTGGTATGATTGCCAAAGAGACAACTATCCACCAAAATTGAAAATAATTTTTTTAATGTTATTTCATTGTTGAAGGCTGCACGGTGACCTATAGTTGCTTACCTGCACATCTTTTTGTCTCTGGTGGATAATTGTCTCATTGGTTATCATACCACATCTTTTTATCTCTGGATGATAGGTGTCTCATTGGTAATCATACCACATCATTTTGTCTCTGGTGGATAGTTGTCTCATTAGTAATCATACCACATCTTTTTGTCTCTCGTGGATAGTTGTCTCATTGGTAATCATACCACATCTTTTTGTCTCTGGTGGATAGTTGTCTCATTGGTAATCATACCACATCTTTTTGTTTCTGGTGGATAGTTGTCTCATTGGTAATCATACCACATCTTTTTGTCTCTGGTGGATAGTTGTCTCATTGGTAATCATACCACATCTTTTTGTCTCTGGTGGATAGTTGTCTCATTGGTAATCATATAACATCTTTTTTATACACCTCCTCATTTGCAACTTATGAAGAAAACATGATATATTAAAAACACAAATACACTAGTGTGGTCAAAAGCACACATCTTGTTAAAACAAGATAAAATATACACACATCTGGTGAAACAAGTCAAAATCTACACACATCTAAAACAAGTTAAAATCTACACGCATCTGGTGAAACAAGGTAAAATCTAACAATCCTAGTGACATACAAGTCTAATTTATTTCAACATTAAATTTTTTTCTTCAAAATTGAAATTCTTCTCATGCATATGTTATAAAATAATATAAACATTCACATGTATCGATAAAAGATTGATTAGATATGTCAAAAATATTTTATATTACCAATTAATATGTCAACTAATATTATTTTTTCTGCACCTATGAATTTGGTAATTTGTTTATTACAATGAAATACATATTTATTATGTGCTGTTTTAATTAGAAAAAATGATTTTGTTTGACACTTCCTTATAAGGGAAAGATTCTTAAATTTGAGATTACTAATTATTTGTTTTCCATAAATCAATTAGTAAATTAATGTCACGATCTGCTGAGTAAGTTTGCCTTCAGGAATTATAAGAAGTAAAAAAAGCGAAACAGGTGTTGGGTATACATCAATGAGATAGCAATCAAATGATACAAAAAACCAAAAGACATTTGTAAGGATTTTTTTTAAAGGCATTCTTAAAATTACAATTTACTGAAAAGGAAGTGGTGAAATGGGTCAATCTTAATATTTTTCATATTATGAATAGCCATTTCTTATCCTCATTATTTAAGAAAACACGAACCCAACAAATGAAAAAAAAAACGAAAAGACATCTTGAAGGATTTGTTAAGGATGAGAAATTTAAAACAAGTTAAAATTAAATGGTAGAATTTATCTGTCTTGAAAAGAAAATGGTAGAATTTATCTGTTTTGAAAAGGTTTGCATTGATCGTTGTCACTTTGTCCATGGAGTGAGAACAAATGTCAAACTTCCTTTAAAACAATGTGGATACTACAGGACATGGACTAGGTTAAAGATGAAATATTTTCTGACTTTTGAACCCCCAAAAAATAAAAATAATTCCCTGAATTCCACATTATTTTCACCTCATGGTGCATATTTGCAGAACTAGAAAATGATATTTGATTTGATTTTGTTTTTTATTATTCAAATTATTATTGGAATGTTGTTATATTTATCTTTCAGGGAAGAATATCAAATGATGATGAAAGAAGAGGCTCAAGATGATGCTTACAATGAAAATGACAATGAAGGTCATCTGGGTGATGGGATTCATAAAGATGAAGATATGATTGACAGTGAAATAGACAGTATCTCACAAGAAATGATTGAAGTGAAAACTGAGGATCAGACTTCTGTGCACTCTCCGAAAGACACATCACATGTACCTACAAATCATGAAATATTTTCAAGTTTGCTTCAGAAGGCACAAGATTCAATGTCAGCAGCTTCAAGTCATATAGCATCTTAGAGAACAGGACCGTAACAGTTGTAAAAAATTATTATTGATAGGAACAATCTATTGTAGTAAATGTTCTGCTTTAATTTAGTACATAAACAAGAAAGTGATCGAAGATTTTTTAAGACTTTTTTTGTTTTAACTAGATTTGATTTACAATGTCAGCCTTATACACAAGGGGGACAACTCTCAATTATAAAAAAGGAAATCTGAAGGTTGTAAAAATCTAAACTGAATAGGACATCTTTTGTAAAAAGTGTCAGGAAAGTTTTAATCAAAAAATGTTTTGTTAAGAACTTCTATTATTCTAGTGCTTTACATGTTGTGTTTGTATGTTGTTGTTATTTTTAGAGCTTTTAATTGTTAACTTGTTTTGGACCATTCAGATGACATGCGGATTTGAAGTGTTACAATTTTGATTTTAATTAGCAGATATTTAGATCTGGAAATCATAGCTTATAGGGCAGTTTTAATTTAAAAACAGAATGCAGTGCTTCATATGCATAATTTTAATGTATAAAATTTTACCACAGTCAAGTGCATCAAGCATTGTAGATTTCATATAAATTTGTTTTAAAAGTTTTGTTTGATGTGCAATAATAGGCAATACAACACAGCTTCAACGAAGAGCTATGTTTGAGAAAATATAACTGGAGTTAGTGCTTAACTACATATTGTACATTTCAATCAGAAGCATTTTTTTTATTATTAAAGGACCATCGTATATTCTGAGTATTTTTTAAAATATTAATCTTGTTGACAATGTCTGTAGACAGAAAAATAAGATGTGTGTTATCATCAGATAATTATTCAGTTAATATTATCACCAATGTAAAAAATCATTCATCAATTCATACAGTCGGAAGGACCAAAAAACTGTTTGTTAGTTCTATTTTATATTTATACTGAATATTTTATTAGGTTGTTTTAATTATCCCTTGCAACATGTTATTGAGAAGTAAAATAGTTGTGAAATATTATTTCAAAATATCTGATTACTCACCAGTTAAAACAAATACAAAATTAGATTTAACTTCACAGAAATATTAAGACCCATGGTAGTTTATAGGGATTCGTTGATTTATATTAGTTGCAAAAAAACATTCTTTCTTAAAGTATTGTTATAAATACTTCCATAAAATCTTATTAGTTATTTAGCATTATATTTTTTAGTTTTTCTGTATGTCATTTTTTTGTGAAATTGGAGAACATTGATTTTGGGTCATAATTTTATATGGGAAATAAGTGAACAATGTATCATCTCACTGGTTTCTCACTCTATGTTTCAGTATTGGTAAATTAAGCATGACATTTTTTATTTTACAAGATTGTGTTCATGTATTTTTGTACATTCTGGTCCTTGTTGTATAAATGTTAGTTGTTAATGTATATTTTACTGTTTAAGTCTTTTGACTATTCATTAAATTCTGTAAATACATTGTACATACATCTTTTTTCATAGAAATGAACTTCTGAAGTCATTCTACGGATAAAACGTAATATTATATTATGATTCTATTTATGAAAGACTTTTTAAGATAAATTATGATTAAGCAATACAATATTTTCCCAGTTTAACTGTTGATAGACTATTCCCATTTCATTGTAATATCATCTCTAATATTTTTTATCTCTAGAATGTTGGCAGCAAAATATAATTTTACATTTACAAAGTATAAACTTGTTTCATATTTCCAGCCCCCCCACCCCAAAAAAAAACCTTTTGGTACATGTAGATGCACTGTTCGTTTTGCAAATCTAGTAAAAGCTATTTCTAGCATTTTTGGCCTTTATACTAAAAGATTGGATTAATTCATGTTCAGTATTTAAAAGTTTTAAGATATGATTGAACTGTTATTTTTTTCTAACCTGTCCTATTTTCTGATTTTACTGTAGATAGACACTTTTAAACAGAGCATTTAAAAGCCAATACCTTGTATCATCAGTCATTTTATCATAAGATTTGAAATTTGCAAACATTTAAATAAAATAGAATTTATTATTTTAGAAGTACAATGGCTTTCAATAAATTTGATTGATATTTACCCTTTATTATCTGTGTAAAAATTAAATTGGAACCTTCTATTTAAGGGGAGGTAAAAACTGGATTTTACAGCAAGTCAAAAAGGTTTTACACTTTTCTTTGGTGAATTATCAAGAAATCAAGAAGGGTACCCCCATTTTGTTTTTATTTTCTGAAAATAATGTCCAAAAGAATTATAAATTTCTGTCAATAAGATGTATTTATCCACCAAAGAATGATTTCCCCTCTATTATCTCTGTAAAAATTAAATTGGAACCTTCTATTTTTGGAAATTAACATGCTGACAGGGTTTTTTTTTTCAAATCAAATTTTGTTTAGTTCTTTTAGGAATATTGAAGGAAAATCTACAGCATGTATTTAGCATATTATATATAAATATATATGCTGGTTAATCATTTTTCATATTTTGTTTGTTTTCTTTCATTTTTCATTTCATTTCATATTTTGTTTGTTTTCTTTTTAATGGGACAATCATTTCCTAAGAAGTAAAGAGATGATAGTCTGAGCACTGTTATCTTTATTGTTATATCATTGATTTAATCAATTTCAAAAGCAACAGATGTTTTCATTTGTTCATACTCTGTTAAATATATTTATTTTTTTATGTTTGATATGTCTGTTTTACAAACCAAACCAACACGCTGATCTGTTATTGTAGTTATTGGACGTGTACTAATAACAGCTTGAAGTTTTAAATGTAAAACAAAACAAAAGGATAAAAGAGAATAAAATATAAAAAAAATATGAAAAAAAAATCATCAAATAAAGAAAATGATCTTTTAAATTTTTTTACATTTCAATAGATTTATGCTTTTAAAAAAATACAGTAAAACTGAAATGACATTGTCTTTTAAATGTTGATGTAAATCTGATGTGGTACATTAAAACTATCAGGTTTGATTTCGTAACACTTTCATGCTATATTGTTAAGTTCTTTTTTTTTTATAAAAATTCCTTTGCAAAAGAAAACCTAAAATTTGCAACTAGTTTGCTTAATACCTAAATGTATTTAAAACATGGTTCATTAGGCCAATGCTAATTTGGTAGAATGTGTTGGACTTCAAGATTTTGAAATCATTTCATACAACATATGTTCACTTTTCTCACCAGTGTTATTCTTGCACATCAATTTTACATACCTCTTTTTCTCTGTTCTTTCATCTTTCTAGTCATTTTTTGTTTTTTTGTTGAATTTGCAATCTGTTTGTTTCTTTCACATGTACAATTGTTTCTATTCTCCTGAAAACAAACTCTCAAATAATTTAGCTTAACAAAAAATTGTATTCATTGAGATTAAAAATGTAAACACAAACATTCCCTTAACCTGTCATGATGTTTTATGAACTTGCATAAATAATATAATGAATTAAGATTCCAAAGTATTATTTTATTCTTGAAGGAATTTTTTGCACGTTGCTTTTAAACATTTTTGAAAGACGACCAAAGCTTTATGGGAATTTCTATAAAATAAAACTAGGATCTAAGGTCTATATTATGGAATAAATGTAAACAAGTAGTAAGATCATTTGTGTATTTTTTCATATGTTTTTAGGTCACAATTTAACTTGCTTAGTTATATTGGTAATTTTTTTCCCAACTTTTTATCTTTTGACATTATTAAAAGTATATCAGTTTAAGAATCAGAAAGTATTTTTCTCAAACCATAACATTGTAACTTGATAAAAATAATGAACAAAAAAGTGACAAAATTTTTTATCTTTCTAATGTTGGATTATACCTTCAAAGTCTTGTTCATGGAGCAGTTCTTACTTGCAGTAAATGAATAGTGCTCTTGGTTTTAATGTACAGTAACTTTGCTGTTGTATACTGTATTCTTGGAATATGACTTTCTGTAGCATCCTCTATAAATCATGCTTTTGTGATGAATAGATTTGATGGACATTTCACAGAAGACCTTATACAACAGTCACAAAAGTCAAACTACATAAAAAACAGGAAGACACATCTCATAACACAATTGGTTAACTATCTAAAACAACTGCTACAAATTAAGATGTTTATGGGCAATTTGGTTAAAAAAAGAACTATTGTTAGTCATCATATAATGACAAGCATGCAATATTTCAGCCACATGCATAGTAAAAATAAGGTAAACTGTTTAAAGGGTGTAATAATAAAGTAGATTGAAATTGAAACTGATTAAGAAGAATTAGTTTGTAAAACAGCTTATATAACTTTAAATATTAAAATATCTAAAAGATGCAGAAAGTAGACATTTGATAAAGTCATATAAATAAATATTTTTATGATTTTGATTTCATATTTAGATTTTACAAGGTAGTCCTAATAAATCTATGCAAGTATTTATTACAAGTTGTGTCTGTTATGTAACAATTATTACAAGGAGTTGAAAGTATGTATCCCTTTTTATCAGGTCAGCTAGAAAATTATACAAATAATTAGAAATGTAGTAAAAATATCAATATCTCAGTTATCAGATAGCTGTGTGTGCAAGGGCATTTTAATTAGATAAATTTATAATGCATGTTTTAAATGATGCGGTCATTTATTTTTAAACTACTGAGAAAATTGGTAGGGTATTTTTAAATAACAAATAATAGTTTCCTCTTCAGCAATAGTTATGTAATCTCTTTTACTGCATTATACACCAAGTATGTTACATCTGAAATAGTTATATTTTTTCTTTCTCAGGAAAATCTGTATTCAAACAGTATTTACTACTAGGGAGTGTATGTAGTAACCGGTGCATTTCATGATTACCTATCTTTCTCTATTGTGTAATGTCTTCATCAGAGACAATAAATAATATACTGGGTTATAATGCTTGTTTCTTTTTTTTATGCCCCCGCCGTAGTGGAGGGGGCATTAAGTTTTACCCTTGACCGTCTGTACGTCCGTCCGTACGTCCCACAAATTGGTTTCCGTTCTCTAACTTTAGTTTGCCTCAACCAAATGTTATGAAACTTATACACAATGCTTATAACCACAAAATTCAGATCAAGTATGAATTTGGGTAGCGTCACTTTTACCGTTCTTGAGTTATGTCCCTTTATAACGTTATATGCAAGCAGGGGCATCATCTGTGTCCCATGGACACATTCTCCATTTATTTTTCTTGCGACCTCATGATTTCAAAGAAAATGTGCTTTAATTGCAGTACATTAACCAAGTAATTGTGTAAAGGTCATGAGACAGCCACTCGACAATGGATCATTAAATTAAAGACACTACTGCAAAGTAACGTATTGCCAAATTGTACCTAGCTGAGAAATATGTCAACTGAACATCACCATGATATTTCAGTTGTTTTACTACAGAAAACCAGAATATTCTATTGGACAATCATTCATAATAGGTGGTGCAAAATGGCAATTTGTAAAAACTTTTCTTGAAAGTTTCCTTCAAAATCCAATCTTAGAATGAGGAAGATTTGTGTATACTAAAGACCAAGTCCCTTTTAAGCTCAATTGGCCCATAGCACCATATGAGCTATTGCCATCACTTGAAGACTATCATCCATCTCTGGCATTGTCTTAAACTTTTTATTTAAAAATATTTTCTTCTGAAACTAATTTGCCGATTCCTACCAAACTTGGTTAGAAAGTTCCTTAGAGGATTTTGTTTTAAGATCATATTCCGGATTCAAGCCAATAAACCAACATTTCCCCAATGGAGCTTAAAATAGAACTTGAGGGTAAAATGCAAATAATATTGTCATATCCTGAGATTACTACAACATAGTAGACAAGAATAAAAATGTCAGATTATCTACCATTTTTTTATTTCTTTCAACTATCAGGATATGCCTGATAGGAGTTATTTCCCTTATTGACAATGTTTTGAAATTTAGTGTTTTTGCCTATTTTGAAAATTTTAGATGGACAGAAACTGTAATCAGCAAAAATGATTAGTGTAACCTGATCAACAATATGCCAGTAAAACTGAAACCATCAATTGACTCCTTGTATGATTTATTGCCATATAAGAAAGATTTTGTTTACCAATTTAATCAATTTTGCCTATCACATGTATCTTGAAAACTATGATTGATAGCTTAAACTGTCAAAACAATAATGATCAGCCATAAAATATTTACAAAAATGCTTAATTGCTGACAATCAATGCTTTCTCACAACAGTCGTTGTCCTTAAATGATAAATTTTCTCACCATTTTCAATGAGTTTGTATGCTATAATTTGAAATCTTCAATAGGCAGTAAGAAGATAAATAGTGAAAATGATAGGCAATAATACATAGCAATATTACATACCATTTGTTGACAACCTTAGAGAAGTTTTTTCCCTTAAATACAGTTAAATTGAAACTATGAAATACAACATTGGAGTAAAATCATTTATTAGTTATTTATTTATTTATCTGAACTGAATATGATACAAAAACTTTATTTAGATTAGGTATAGTTATCAACTACAAAAATAAGTTCTAGAGAACTTTTAACCGAATACATACAAACATTTACAACAACATAAAAAACAATCATGCAAGCAATAAAAAAATAGAGAAAGCACACATAAAAGAAAGCACGGCACAAACATGGCAAGCAAATTATATTATAAAAGAGCAAGTTAAAGTAAAATACAGTGAAATAAAACAAAAGCTTATCTACATGCAAAACAGCAACTCTAACTATTCTCTGTCCTGAAATGGTCCAGAAGACTTTTCCACAATGTAGCTGCAATTTTTTAAAAGAGTAGTTTTTATACGACCGCAACAGTTTGTCTGTATAATGGTATGGTGATGTTATTGTCTGGAGACATTTGGTTTCCAGACTATAACTTGAGTATAAGTATATGGATCTCTATGAAATTGTACCACAAGGTTTCTCTACCAGAAAAGGAAGGCTGGGATTGATTTTGGGGGTTGTGGCCCTAACCGTTGAGGAATTAGGCGCCAAAAACAATCCTTTTCCGATGCTTATTTCTTGACCAGTTTCAATGGGTTTCATTCAAAGTCTTAATTCCTTGGGATTCTTTAATATGCTATCTAACCGTGTATTTAGAGTTTTGATTTTAGGCCCCATTTTCAAATTGGTCCACATTAAGGTCTAAAAGGTCCAAAATTAAACTTTGTTTGATTTTAAAAAAAAATTTAATTCTTGGGATTCTTTGATATGCTGAATCTTGTATTTAGATTTTGGATTTTGGGACAGATTTTCAAATTGGTCCACATTAAGATCCAAAGGGTCCAAAATTAAACTTAGTTTGATTTTAACAAAAATTGAATTCTTGGAGTTCTTTAATATGCTGAATCTAAACATGTATTTAGATTTTTGATTTTGGGCCCATTTTTCAAGTTGGTCCAAATCAGGGTCCAAAATCAAACTTTTTTTTTGTTTGATTTCAACAAAAATTGATATCCTGAATCTAACCTTGTATTTAGTTTTTGGATTATAGCTTATGAAATTTCTAGCAAAGAGTTTGTTTAGTTTTTAATTGAAATTATGAGGCTAGTATATTGTAAATGCTAAATATATTGTAAAGGCTAGGATTATGGAAAAAAGGTATAGTTAGGGTTGGGTAAGTTTTTATTTATTGAAGGTAGGATATTGTAATGGCTATAGGGTTATCTTATGGTAATGCCCAAATGGCAGAATGGTCTAGGTTTATAATTAAAGTAAAATCAAATGTATTATTGTTATTGAATATTGTCACATTTTGAAATGAATTAATGATGAAATAACTATTAGATGATTGTTCTGAGGTTCAGGGTTCAACCTCTGCGGTCCCATCATGCTACGCACTGCATTTTATTACATATGATATGGAATGTCCAATATATTGTATTCTGATTGCTTACCTTTAATAAGCCTTGTAACCATACAGGTGGCACCTGTATGTTTACAAGGCTTATTAAGGTAAGCAATCAGAATACAATATATTGGACATTCCATATGTAATGAGAACAATGGCATTTTAAACTATTGGAATCATAATCAGTTGATTATGATTCCAATAGTTTAAAATGCCATTGTTCTCATTCTTTTGACTTGCAGAGAAGGTATCTTTGCTTTTTCTAGTAAATTCTCATAGGAGCTAGAAAAGTTCTCATATACAAAACATGCTCTTTCTTGCATTTTTTTCAATTTTTGAGGAATTTTTCTCTGTGCAGAAATGCCATGCCAAAGTGCATAAATTGAAGTTACTCAAGATTAATGAATGAAAAATGGTTTAATCTAACAGGGTGTTACACCACTGACCCTTGGGGTTGAGCGCTCATGAACATGTTAAACCTACCACATTATGTATGTGCCTGTCCCAAGCCAGGAGCCTGAAGTCTAGTTGTTGTTTGCTGTCTGTCATGACTGTTTTTCGTTTGATGTTGTTAGCTTATTTCCAGCCGTTATCAGTTTGTTGTATTGTTTCACATTTTGTTATTGGGGACTTTTTATGCTTTATGATATGGGTTTTGCCACTGTGACCTGTTGTTTACAACCTTTTCCTTTGGTCTGTTGGTGGATAGTCGTCTCTTTGAAAATTAAACCACTTCACCTTAGTTACATATACAAAGTTGCACACAGAGTGCAGAGAGGAAAGGATCAAAACAAATTTAATTTTATGTTGCCTGTTTCAAAAACAATACATGGGAATCATCAATGTTCACAAATAAGTCTGACAGTTTAAAAAATTGGAATAGGAAATGTGTGATGTCTACTTAAGCAAACCAACCTGCGAAAATAGATATTTTTATTATACATGAAGGGTTCAAACTTTAAAATACATGTCTTCAAAGGATAATTTTAAAGGCATTAAGCATATACAACTTTTTTGGGGAAAAAATACCACATCTCCTTATTTATATGACTAACCTTTCACAGTCTTATCCAAGAATATCTGAATAACACAACACAACACAGTACTGTGTTCTCTTAAAAGCCATAGCAAACATCTTGGTGTTTTACATAAAAATTCAAATATGATTCTAAATGTATCATAAGTTGAAAAAGAACATTTCACTCTGCAATTAAAGGCTGCTCTATTTTACTGTTAAGAACCAAAAAAATCATAACATAATGAGTGGAAATAATGTTCCAGATTATTTCTTCCATTTGGAACTAATTACTAATCTATGAAAACTTTTATGTTTAATGAGATTTTCTATGACTATTTGAACAAATTCCTAATTCGAGAACATCATGATTTAGCAAAAGATTTTTTTTTATTTTGGACAAAATCAAATGAAGATATTTTACCTGCTTCAACATTTTTGATATTGAATATTTGAACTCAATTAAATCCCTGGGGAAATTTTACTAGTACAACAAATGTAACGTGTAAAGCAAATGAAATCTAATGAATAGTTATATATATCTACGATCTTCTACTAAGCTAAAAGCTTATTTCAAATTTACTTTTGTGTGTATATATATGTTCTTCCTCATGAATTAGGACATAAAACATAAGACACAAGACATTTTATTTCACTAAAGTCCCCACAAAGGGTATGTTAGTGCAACATTTTAACAAACAATAAAAGTGTGAACATATTTACATTTGAACAACATGGTAAACAAAGGTACAATAATAGTATATACATAATGAAATACTGATATGTGACAGGAAGTACAAATTATAGTAACATGATTAAGCACATGTATTAAAAGGTTTTATTAACACTTTTGCAAAATTTTGCTATTCCAGTAATTGTAAATAAATCTGATGTTAAAAATTTAGCTCTTACATTGTTGAAAAAGGTACATTTGAAATAAGTAATGTAACTCAACACCAAGTTCATTAGCATTACAGAGATTACAATGTCTTTCAGTTCTGTCAATATTAAAAAAAATCTGCCAGTTTCAATGGG